TAGTGGTAGTGGTAGTGGTAGTGGTAGTGGTAGTGGTAGTGGTAGTGGTAGTGGTAGTAGTAGTAGTAGTAGTAGTAGTAGCAGTAGTAAGGAGTAGTAGAAGTAGTAGTAGTAGTCCTAGTAGTACTAGTAGAAAAAATGCACAAGCGAGGTAAATTTGCAAGTGCACAAGCGAGGTAAATTTCAATTGCACAAGCGAGTGCTCGCCCGGTGAGATCACCCCAAGTGAGTTTTCCTATGTTCATCCCAGAATCCCCATCTTTTGGTGCCCATCACCCAAAAGAAAGCCGTGCCTCTCCGGCTCCAAAGGTTGCTCAAGAGGAACGCGGGAGCTGCCTGAAGGCGCGCCGGGCGCTGGAAGAGAAACACTTGTTGAGTGGCTTGACTGCGCTATCTGCTGATACACAGAAACACCTGTTCTAGAAACACCTGTCGAGCCATTTTTGGGCTACATGTTCAGGAACTTTCTATAAGGTTCTAGACACACCGGGCAAGTTGACTCTGCGTTGTGGACTCATCGAATGCCAATCACCCCCGAGTTCGACGCACGTCAGCGGTACCGGTACATCCACCCCCCTTATGCCTGAGTGTACCATCCACAACAACGAAATCCAGAGAGGCCCAAGCTGTTTCGAGTTGAAACATGGAATGTGTTACAGTCTCCGTGTAGGTTTGACCAACCAGGTTTCACCTGCAGGTTTGGGATCGCTGAACGTTCTCCCAGCTCCAAGATGAGGCCCTCCCAGCCATCCAGACTGAACGAAACAGCCGAACCCACCTCCCCTCCCAAGAGGACCCAACGACTCAACGACCCTCCCGTGACAACGACCCATGGTGACGTGGTATGGCCCTGACAGGATGACCATCGGTGCCGCCGTCACCAATGGAGTCTTTCAGGGAGGGCAGCGGGGGGCAATGGGTCGGGTCCATTCCCACGCATCCACTGGACACTTTTCTAGCATGATCTTCAGATGTTTTGTGTGGTTTTCTGGTATTTCCGCTGTTCAGCGGTGCCGTGCGAAATCACCACCAGTCAGGTGGTGCCTGACAGCACTTGGCCAAACGGCTCCAACACAGGTGACGACTGGCTCGCGAGCTTCGCGCGTTTCCACCTGTGACGTGGTCCTCACAGCTCTTGGGCTCCTTGGGGGGCTCCTGAGCCCAGCGTTCATCGTGGTAGGCTCCAGGTCATGCCATGTGGAACAACCTCCCAGAATCCTTTTTTGGATGGTGGTTTATGTCCAAAGAAACCCTTGGGCCCTTGCTACGGAGGAGAATCCATGAAATCTGTTGGAGCTTTCGGGTCTTTCCCGTTCCAAACACCTCATCATTCAGTTGGGCATTCCTGCTGCTTTTGAGCGTTTGGTGTGGCTGGGATTCCAAGTGAATGTCTAGAAAAACAACAAAGCTTGATTAGAAACAACTGGAAGCAACAAGGAGCGCCCACGTGTTCGTGTTCATCGCACTCAGCACATCTGCCCAGGCACAAGCAACAGCGGCTGGAGCTCCTGGCAAAACATGGAAAGGGTGTTCAGTTCGCCCAAAAACTGCAGGCAAACAGATCATGCACATGTCCCACTCACTCACCTCACTCACACTGTTGGAGAGCCGTGCTGGACAAGGTCATCCAATAGCTGATCAAACAATATCAACAAAGTCCAGCTCCATTCAACAATCCTGGTCTCTCTTTTTCATTACACACCTGGAAGTAAGTGAAGAGCAAAACAGCTTGTTGAGGCGAGTAATCTTCCAAGGGGCCTTTCGGTTCAGAGGGTCTTCCCAGTGGCCAAAGCCACCCTCACGTGCTTTAGAGGAGCTCACGTGCTTCCCGCAGATCCATGATTCCCCTTCAGTGTATTGGGAGAATGTATGTACCTCCATCTGAAGCTCAACAACCATGATTCTTGCGCTCTGCAGAAAAAAATGACTTTGTAACGTTTCCCCAAGAAAGAGTTGTTCCTTCTGCCTACCCTCCCAGCTCAAGGACCAGCATTTCGCAGTTTGATTGCCACCAGAGCCTTCCCGAACCAACATGGGTGTGGGTCAAAACTACTAGACCTTGGTCGACGGACCTACCTGGTGTCGGTCATTCGCTACATGGTGGACCAGACCAGGGCTCCAGGTTTGGATCCATCCCCACATACTGTGGATACAGTGGATACAGGTGTCACAAAAGTTAAAGGCAAGTTGTAGAAGATCCTTCTGGATACACACATCAAGCAGCCCTGCCAAGCTTCGCGATTCCATCCCCTCCAAGCGACACCCGCTCACACTCCAATCCCAATGTCCCCAGGCTCCGCCACTCCTCCTTCAGTCCACCCGCATGAGTCGTCATCTCCGGCGCGTGCGTCGCACGCGCCGCGGGCGGCGGCCTGCCACAGGTGTTAAGTCGACACACGGGGCTACCTGGAGGATCTTCTTGCTGGTTCACCAAAGGTGGCCCTGCCCCCCACCCTGTTGGGCCCTCAGCTGCCCGATAGGGCTTTCAAGCAAGCATGAGCCAACCTCATAAGTCATCGTTGACTCAACAAGAGAATAGAAACCACCATTTGTTGAGCGTCCTGAGTCCTGGCTCCATCAAGTGGATGGGCTGGGGCTCGTCCAGCAATTGTGTTGGGAATATCTTAGTTCTTCTCCATCCAATCACAGTGGCACACCCGAGTCTCAGGAGGATAAAGAACATTGTAGAAAAAAGAATTGGTCGGTCAAACATAATACATCATACATCATAATACCCTTTGACCGACCACAGTTCTGTCAGTAGCATCAAAGAGACAGGCGTAAACCTGCGCCAAATACATAATCATATCAATTGCTGTTTCGAAACCCCAACATGGTCAGCGAATGCTCTTCGGGTTCGGCAGCAGACCCGAAGAGAACCTGTGCTTCGGCAGTACGCCATCCGTCAGGGCCAAGTAGAGCCCCCAGATCGACAGCCGCAGCGGCTCGCTGAGAGGTTGCAACACCAAGGCTGGACAGCGGCCTGTGGGGCGCCCAGTCTGAATTTGGAGCTACTTGACCTGAATTTGTTGGGGCCCAAAAACACCTGAGCCTACCTGTTGACCTCTATGCTGGAGTCCAACCCAGCTTTCCACACGCAGCAACTGGCAACTGGCAATCCGGCGTTGTTCTTCCGCCACGGCGCAGGTCCGCCGGACGCAAATCACCGCCACGCCGCAGGTGGCGTCAAAGAAGCTCAGCACCGAGCTGCCACAGCAGCCGCTCAGCGGCGCCGCGCGGCCGTAGATCATCGCCTTCGACCGTTCCCGCGCGGGACATCGCTTCGGCCGCCCGGTTCCGGCGACCGCCGAGCGCGGCGCGGACATGGACGTCGGTGCATTGCGGACGGCGGTGACGGCGGGACGTTGGGGTATCGAAGAACAGGGGGAACGAGATGGAACGAGGTCGTTGGGACGTGGAACAACGGCCCCCCGAGGCCGACGCCGCAGCTGTCGCGCCCAGGCCCGGTGGACCACGCACGAGTGAAGCCCGGAAAGCGGTCGGGTGTTCGGCGAGTGTTTTGGTTGAACGTTTTTGGGTTTTCAGCGGTTTCCAACGATGTGAATGAAAACGATGTCACTGTGATGTGTTTGGAAGCGCTCCCAACCCTTTTCTTGAGAGCTCGTGGCCAACGTGAAAGCTTGGCCACCGAGCTGGAAGGGGAAAAGACACCAGACCTATGTTGGCCACGTTCAGGGTGCTCCGGGCACCCTGTTATTGGATCACTGTTCTCAGGCTGTTCTTCAGGCCGTTTTCTGCAGCAGGGCTGCCTCTTGTCCATCAGCATCTTCCCTTTTCGGTGGTTTGTTGGGAGTCGCAGCATCTCAACCAACACTGGGACCGTCAAAGTGCTGATCGTCGCTTGCACCAGCCCATCGATTCAAGATTTGGCCTATGGAGTGCTTAGAATCCGCCCGCACCGAAGGTGCTGAGGCGTTTTTATAGGGCACGCATTATACCGCAAGTACCGCAAGTAGTACTGATAGCTTTAGCTAGGGGGGGGGGCATTTTCGCTCTAGAATCCTGTGTTTTTCACGTTTTTGGAACCGGCTTAAAGTGCTGGAAGATAAATTCGCGCTAATGTTTGCTATCTTGAAGCTTTAGGGATGCAAGAAATGCAATTTTCTGCTTTGCATCATCTGCATCATCTGAATCATCTGAGCGGTACGTAACATAGCCCTAGAAGTCACTATCTAACGGACGTGTCTGCGAGATAGGGACTTGAACGTCCGGGTACGTGGCTGGTCAGGAGCAGAGATAAGCAGATCAGGTCCATGAACGGTAACATTATCTCACGAGCATAGCTCCCATATGGCCGAACATAACCCCAGAAGTCACTATCTCAAGTATGCTTCACCGAGATAGGTACTTGAACGTCGTAAACATGGTCCAACGAAGGCTCCAAAGGGATTGGAATAGAGTGAAGATATTGCCTAACAGAGCCCTAGAAGTCACTATCTAAAGGACGTGTCTGCGAGATAGGGACTTGAACGTCGTAAACTGGAATCTGGAATAAAACCCCCCCCTAACGTGGCCAAACATAGCTTCCATATTGCCTGGCATAGCATTAGAAGTGATATTTGGCTCCACAGGAGCAAAGATAAACAGAGATCCAGTTCCGGAACGGTAACATTTTCGCGCAAGCAGAGCGTGCATACGATCGAACATAGCCCCAGAAGTCACTAGTATCTAACGGACATGTCTGCGAGATAGGGACTTGAACGTCCGGGTATCAGGAATGGTAACATTTTCTCCCGAGCATAGCTTCTGTATGATCGAACACAGCCCCCGAAGGCACTATCTTAAGTGTGTGCAGATCAGGTCTAGGAATGGCAACACTATCTTACGAGCATAGCTCCCATATGGTCGAACATAACCCCTGCAGTCACTATCTCGAGTATGCTTCCCCGAGATAGGCACTTGAACGTCGTAAACATGGCACAACGACGGCTCAAAAGGGACAACAACATAGCCCTAGAAGTCACTTTCTAAAGGACGTGTCTGCGAGATAGGGACTTCCATATTGCCTGACATAGCTTTAGAAGTGCTATTTGGCTCCGCAGGAGCAGAGATAAGCAGAGATCACGTTCCGGAACGGCAACATCGTAAACATTGGGGGGGGGGCCGTTCTGGGGCTATGTTCGACAATATGGAAACTATGTCGGGCCACGTTAGGACAACCGTTACCGTTACTTGACCTTATCTCTGCTTATCTCTGCTCCTATTGAGCCGAATTGCGCGATCTTGAGCTACCTTGAGAAGAGATACCTCGATTTGCGACGTTCAAGTCCCTATCTTCCTTTCATACTGACTCCCTTGGCTCCAAGAGCACAAGACCCCCAACTACATTGAGCAAATGCCTATCTCGAAACATGACCGGGAGGGGATCACTTCCGGGGCTATGTTCGGTGGAAATATTGTCCCCTTCCATGCGGTGCGGGCGGTTACCGTCGCGAAGCGACGTGAATTACAAAATCACAGATCTGGATCAGCACCTTGAATCGTGCGTTGGAGAACAAACGGATGTCATAGACCACCCCATTGATGTACTCAATATGTACTCAAAAAGTGCTTGTCTTCGGAACGAATGATCCATCCGCGCATCCGCCGCATATTTCTTCGTGTTTTCTGTGCCATCCGGCCTCCAAACGTGGAAGTTCCAACGTGCCATCCAGCCCCACACCAGGACGTGCCACCTGCGGTGGGTACCGCTGCTCGTCCGGACCGACGCCCTCGTCGTCTAGGGCGCCCGCGTCGTGGAAGCTGCGGACTTGGTCTCTGAAAGGTGCATTGGATTTTGAAAGGTGTGGTTGGACCATCTTGACGGGGGTGAAAGGTTCCGCGTGTTTCACACAGTTTCTTTCTGCACGAACTTCCAAACACCGTACAAAGGGCAGAGAGAGAGAGAGAGAGTGTCCAAACCTATGTCTGATTCACTCAAAAAGTCTCTTAAGTCATGGCACCTCTTCCTGTTCTTCCTTTCTTTCGGTCAGGATACGAACCGCCATTGAGTCACGAGAAGTCACCCTTCGAACGGCTCGAGCCGACCAGCGGCTAGCTGCTGAACAGCTCGAGCCAGTCATTGGTCGGAACATTTCGGATTGATGACGTGATTCATGATTGAAGTGGACCAAAACGAATGATTTTTTTCAACATGTTCTCATATCGTCGATGAAATCTTCTCATATTTGTACCCCGCACCACGAAACGTCACGTGCCCGGCACCGCACCTCGACGCGCACCTCTTCGTCCTGAAAGTGACGTCCGAAGAGCTGCCGAAGGACTTTCAAGATGCCTGCCACGGCCGTCCGGACCCTTGCAGTCACCCTGTGACCAAATGGTCACCCCTTTCCAGGTGCTTTTTACAATTTTTTTTCTTTCAGTATCTCAAAAGTTTCACACTCCTTGCGCTTGCAACCAGATGCGTGCCACCGTGCGGCGAGAAAGAACAGAAAAGGGGAACAAGAACATAGTTCTACGCTGTGGCTTCATCACATCCGAACCAAGCAGAAACTATCAAAGGTTGGCGCGGTCTAAGCATTGAATCAGTGAATCAGCTCTGTCGTTGGCTGTCTAAGCGAGCTATCGGATCCTTTCTGTGAGCTCCTCAGAGCTTGCCCAGTGGCGCAAAAGGAAGAGGAAGCTCTTCCTGCATGTTTTGGGTTTGTGTGTCCTGGTTGTTTTGGGCATGCGGCATGGCATTCTTCTGTATGGAAAATGGATTTCTGAAACTCCCCAAGGAACCTTTCATCTCAGATCCTGCACCTGCAACGCCCATTGCTACTCTTGTTCCAAAGTTGATAGGACACCATCATCAAACTCTGGTGAATAGTGAATAGAGTACCCTTGCCTTCTTCGACGCTTGGAATTCCCCTCGATGAATGGGGCCCCACATACACCAAGCATCACCGTTGGCATCCTCCCCAGCTTTCTCAAGGCACGCATCATTCTGAACCCACACTCTCTAACCACGACCCCAGTGCAAACCTGCCTTCCCTGGCCGAGCCAGGCACACCGTGTCGTTGCCGGTGGCCACTCCAGGGCGGCCGCTGGCGCAAGGCCGTCCTAGACTGCTTCAGACCAGCATCCGGCCGTTGATCAAGTGGTTAAGATCACAACCACCAGGAGCCCCTTAAGGCTTAAGGGGTGGTTAATGGACATCCCGTTTGACCTTGAAAGGGCTGTTCTTAGACACCCCTCACCGGCGGCCCTGGAAGGTCTTTCGCTGTTGGCTGTTAGGGCTTTCACCCCCGCCGTTTCACCCCCGTCGGGCCGAATCGGGTAAAAGGGTCCGACTGGATGGAGTCGGACCACCCCAGCTGCTGAGCGTGGACGTGCTGAGTGCGGAGGAGGTGCGACTGTGAGCGAGTGGAGCGAGTGGAGCGCATGGAGCGAAGGGTGGCGACCATGGTGGGACCCTGTTACTACTCCATCCCCGAAATCCCATGACTGTGGCTGTTGGTGCCCGAATTCTTTCCACCAAGATGTGTTGTAGAATTCTTACAAACAGTGACCTAAAGATGCCCTTGAATCTTCACAGCGCAGGTTGTTCCCTGCTGCCACTGTGCTCACTCCCTTCATTCCGCGCTCCACCTGAAAAACAAAAAAGGAACGTCACACACCCTGCCGCAGTGGATCATGTCCAAAAAAAGGCCACCAGACACCGATTGAACAGTCTTAAATGTCACTTAGCCTTCACCAGTGACGAGGGCAGACAGTTGGCAACTCCCGGTCAGTCAGGGCAACGCTCCAGACTGGCCCAAGCGAGCGGGTCCTGACTCGCTCCGGCTTGGTGTTCTTCCAATTCTTGTAGCGAGGCATGTGATACTGCTGAGCATCACATAAGCTGGCTAGAACCTGCGGAGAGCTAGCCAAGCTTGAGAGCGCGGGCGGCACTGAACAAGAGCGTGCCCGTGAGCGTTCGTGTGCTGCACTTAGTGTACTCCAAGCTTTAGTTCCAAAGGTTCTGAAGTTGGGTTCACTGATTTTAATGATCAAAATTTTGCTACTAGCACACATAGATTGTGTTGGGATGTTTATTCTCTTGTCAGCGTTGTCTCCTTGTTTCCCCGACGGCCGACCCAACCGCAGATGACTTCCAACAAAATGAAGAGACTCTTTTCAAAGAAAAAACATACTCATACAGTAGCCTTCTGCCGAAATCCATGCTTGGACAGGCATGCCATATCCACCGATAGCCATACCCTTCTACCGCTCTCCGCTCTTCGCTCTTCGGACTTTGTTCACTGGCCTTCGACATCACTTGAGTCTGGGAGAGGATCTCCTGAGATCGGTCAGGATTCCGAAACGAACACGGGTGACCAGTTGGTCGTCTGCCCCTGCCCCAAAGGACCGAACACGGCCATGTCTATCTCCAGTTTCTGACACCAAATAAACCTCAGGAAACCACTACGGTGCGGGTAGAAACCAAGCAAATACTGCATGACGTTGGCAGGCGTGCTGGCCTTTGGTATTGGACTTCGCTCGATCAAGACGATCTGAAGAAAGGAAGTGAATCTTTATAAGAGAACAGGCGATAGTGAGCTTCTGGGGTGGTGATTTTTGTCGGGTCATACCCGCACGGACGCACGGACCAGAACGTTCCCAAGCCACGTCCTGCTGAGGTGCATCGAACGGATGCCTTGGATGGAATGGGGATGCCGGACTCGTGAGCTCTGCTTTTGCATCTTCGCTCTGCTTGGGGCTTTTTGATGGTTGGACTGGTCAGACAAAAAGGTCGGCGGTCGACGCAAGTGATCCGGAAAGAAATTGCCAAAATGGCGTTCAACTCCGACAAAAATCACGATGTTGGAAACCACAGAGCCATTCTATCAAGTGGCACGCCTGCAACAGCTAAAGATTAGCAAACAGCAACAGCTGCTTTTTGACATGACAGCAGATCCCATGTTGATGTGTGGGGGGGGCTTTATTTAAACAAAATCAAAACAATGCAAAGTCACTTCAAAACATCTTGAAGTCGAGTTTAACATATGAATAATTCAAAGCTATCTCAATTAAAAAAATACTCCCCAACAACTCAACTCTGAAAACTCAATTCTAGCAAACTCAGTTCAATAAAGACTCAGTTCAGTTCAAAAATAATTCAAAACAAAAGTCCATTCGCAGCACAAAGTCACCTCTAAAAAAATGAAGTTAATGCAAACTTCAGCTTCTTGTAGTTCATTACTGTTGTCAAATTTGCAAGCAACTCAGTTGGCCGTGGCAGCCCGTCCCCATGCTTCAACAGTTGTGACCCCTCTGCTAGCTGCACCATGCTGCAACCAAATGACTGCACCATGCTGCAGGGTAGTCAACATCCCGAGAAGAGCAACTCTTCCAAATTAGAGGGCACAAAGTAGCTCCCCTTACATGAACAAGTGTGTTTTTAAAAAATGCAGGAATGGTTCTCCAGCTGGGGATTCAAGAGTTGGTCAGTTCCTGTTTTCAGCCGAAGCACTCTGGCACGTCTGCCCGCCTGGACGCTGCACTGTGTTCTCCTGCGGAGCCTGCAGTAGCAAACGTGTGTAGGAGATGATGGTGAGATGCCAACAATGATTATGCAGCCATCCCTAGTAGGTTGGAGGCCATCGCTAGTAGGTTGGAGGCCATCGCTATTAGGTTGGAGGCCATTCCTATTAATGATGGAGCAATCAAATCGAAGAGTCTTAGGAAGTGCAAAGTGGCTTCAGATGTACAGTAACAGAAAAAATAACAATATTGCTATCTAATCCAAAATACCTAAGCAACCCGAGGAGCTTGGCGCGGTTTCCCAACTCATGAATATGTGTGCACATAAACTATCAACAGTGCACTACCGTGCCTGTGGGGCTCCAAGGCAACGACTCAGCGTCACTCCTTGGCTGCAACGACATGCGATTGGATTGAGGCATAGTGAAGCACCGTCGTCCATTCCCGGACGACGGCAAGTGGACGAGCTAGCTCGTCCACTGCCGTGACGAGTCGAACGAGTCGACACCCACTGTTTGTACTTTGAAGATGTGCTTCAAGTATAACTAGTACAACTCTTGCTTGGATGTTGGAGGAGGTAAACAGCGAACCCGTGCTTGTTTCTTGTGGACCGGTCTTCTTGTGTAAGAGAGGCTGGACCTCATCAAAAGCTTGACACAATCAACATACATCTGAAAATGATCACCCGACAAAGATTATCACAGTTCTCTAATCCCTGGTGGGTGCCAACTCCACAGAATGCTCGATTGTGAACACCACTCTCCCTTTTGAAACCATGCAATCAAAGCTTACATATACTTGTGTTAGTCAAAAGTTCAGACTTGGGATCGCCTGCACCGAACCACGGCCATCACCTGCGCCACCCGCATCAACTGCGCGCCCCAAGGATCTTCAACCTTGACCAAGTGGGAACTCTGGACGGTGGATCCTCCAGCGACGACTCCTGGGCAACTGGGCGACCGGTGGTCGAACAGAGAGACGGCCATCGGACCCACAGCCATTGAGAGAGCCGGTCAAGGCGGGGGTCATCAAGCCATATACGATTGATACATCTGTATATGCCGTGTATATATAATATTAGTTCAAATCATAATATTTTATGTATACAGCATGTGTTGGTTGACGTATGGATTTATATGTCTCTCTATGCCGATTGAACCCGGTCTCATGGCCCTTTCTTCGGTCGTCCATCGCCTCAGAGAGCACCGAGCCCACCAGCTTGAAGGGCGGCTCCAGTTCCAAGCTCGGCCGCGCGAAGAGCGCCGCACAGGAGTCCATGGCCGCGCGAGCCGGCGCTGTGTGCGCTCCACAGTGGTGGTGTGGTTTTCAGACTGGTGAGCAAACAGAACTGTTTCATGGTGTCCTTCGTATATAAACTATATATAGACTTATAGTGTAAACCTCCAAAGAAACCAAGCACACAAGTGGTAAGTGAGGAAAAAAAGAGTTGTTGTCGTTCAATTTGTCCTTGTTGGATCTTGTACGGTGGGGCGCTTCTTGTTGCGCCACAACGTAGCGAATGCAAAACGCCAGGGTTCCAGGAACCTGAATCCTGAGAGTTCTCACATCTGTCCTACAAAGATGTTCATCCAAAAAACAGTCTCATCTAGTTACTAGTTCGTCGTCCTGTTGGGCACAACACCTGACTGCTTCTGCTCCAGGTCCAGAAGAGCGGCTGAGATCCATCGGCTCCGCCCCCTTGGGACTGGGCCACCGAGATCGACCACGCCCACCCAAGCGGTTTTCGGCAGGGAAAGGCCGCTCCAAGGATGTGAGGATTTCCTCCAACCAACGAAGCCCCGAGCCTTCGCCCTGCTGCAGTAGTCCAAGCCATCCCAGAAAACAGGCGATATGGTCCACACTTCCATACTTCCCATCTCCAACCACCTTCCATCAGTGATGTTCAAGAAATCTGAGAAATGGAATTCCGAGCAAGGACCCTCCCCCAATGGGTTCACCTCTCAGCTTTTCTTGGCGAGCAGGGCGACACGGTGTTCAGTCTGACCTGGCGAATGGCGGACGCAGCGACAATGCCCAAAGACAGGACAACCATCGAAAAATACGGGACAAATCCAAACATATGGGTCCAACTTGGAGGATATCCAGATTCAGAAAAAGAAACGGAAAGTGCCCCCCCCACGCGCTTAAAGGATCTGAGCTGGGTCGCAGCTCTCCTCGACAGAAAAGAGCTGGCCTGCCTGGCACCATTGTCACCATTGTCAGATGGAAGGTGTTCACCCTAAAAAGAAAATGATTTCATCTTGATATCAACCCAAAAACTCTTCACCATGCCCTTCACGCGACCTGCTTCAAGTTCCGAGCACAGAAGATCCCTCTTCCCGAACCCGGAGATGGCTGCGGGTCGCCGTGAGACGAAGCAACACTTGCGGACCTGGTGACCTCCCCTCCTGCGCCTGCGGACCGTGGTGAGACCCAGCTCCGGTGGCTGAACCGGCCCCGGTGAGTCATTTGAAACACCGCATCCCGTTGATCACTCAGACTCGTGGTGTGTTTTGTGTGTGGAAAACCGGATCTTCATGATCTTTGCAGCCTTCCAAGTCCACTCAACCCACCGGCTCCCTGCATGTCCCGAAACCACACGAAACCACACTCCAGGTGCCGCGCCTGCTCCTTGCCTTCTCACTTCTCATCGCACGCGGCTCGGGTCCAGTGCGGAAGAGAGGTTCGCTCGTAGCAGTTGGGCATGATCACGATCGACTGATTTCCAATGAGGGCCATTGACATACTCAGCGAGGACCTGCCAACCACCCGGAACCCCTAAACCCACAAAGGCAGGCATCCTGTAGTCTGCCGTGGCTTCAACTCGCCAGGTGCAATCGAAAAAGGCAAGAGTTGGAACACGAAAAACGCTTCAGTCGCTCACACTGGAACTTGGCCCCCTTCAATTTCACTCAGGGTGAGGATGGTCCTAACCCTCCAAAGACCATGAAGACGTCTTCAATCACAGAAGATCCGTCTCACACGGGCGGAGATCCGCAACTGCCTGCTGGTGATGAAGGCGTCGGCTATAATCATCCGATGGATGGCCAACTCCTTGGTCAACGAAAGCAACAAAAAGCAGGAAACAATGGCCATACATGCAGCGTTCAATCATCGAGACATGGCCAACTCCTTGAAATCGCAACCATACATGAAATCTTGAGGTCATACCGCTGCTCTCGATCTTGTCATTCAAAAGAGCTCTCAACAAACCTGTCCTGATCCACACGTGTCTCGCGCGCACGTGTCTCGCACCTATCACGTGCCAAACGCGCACGAAGTCCTTTGGGCCAGGACACTAGGCTGCTGCTTCGTCCATCCAGCACAATGTCACTGGCCTCCAGTCGTGGTTCTGCCTCGCGTCACGCATCACGTACAAGACGGACTGGCCAGTTGAGACATCAAACAAAGCCAATACTGGTCTCGCCCAGTTCGTGTTTGCGTCACTCGAAAGAGAACGTGTCACCTTCACCATCCTAATACCTAAAAAAAATAAAGAACTCACTCTTCCAACTGTGGGGCAGTGGTTTTGGAAGGTTTTTGAACTCGGAGCATGCAATTGTGCAGGGAGCTGAGAAGTGTTCACCGAAGCTGGGCGTTCAGCCGAGAAAAGACTTTGATAGACTTTGTATATCCTTTTGCTGTGAAGTGGAATTGAGTGACAAGGTCACAACCCTCTTCCTGTCTTTTCTTCTTCAACTATTTCGGATAAAGATCTTCACCGCCAAAACCCGACCAACACCCTAGGTTCCAGAAATGACCTCAGCATAACCAACAAAACCTTCCATGCGAAGCATTACCAGCAAACCATCCATCCAACAAACCATTCCTTGCCTTGATGAGATTCTGGACCTTCTCCTCATCCGTCTGCACGCGAAACAAGGGTGGCGGCTTCCCCTCCGAGCGAAACCGCTGCCTGAGCGACTCGATCTGCCTGGCATACCAACCTGGGCATACCAACTCGAGTCCGGGGACACGCACAGCGAGATGCAGGAGTTTGAAGCACAGGGTGGTGGCTTTCCCCCCACACCCTCAAGCACATAGATCCAAACGCAAATGGGAAATCTGCTCAAGTTCTTGACATGTTGATTATTCTATTTAGATACAGGAAGATTCAGAGAAACATCGTAGGTCGAGGTCTTCCGGTCGGTGAGGCATCCTCGAATGGCATGAAATTTTGGGTAGTATGCAGGAATGTTTGCTGCAAATTAATACTATGTTTGACAATGGAATATAGCTAAAACCACCAAGAACATCAGTGAAACACGGGGATAGATCAAAACAACAACCCCCTTGAGAATACACTGTGAATTGCTTGGCATCCATGTCTGCTTGTGTTTCTTTCCCAGACTCAATCTCATACCCAACCCTCCAAAAACAGAGCAATTTCAAGAATTCATCCATGTCGCCTGCATGCGCATCATCCAAGTTCCACGCTCACCTCACCTCACCATTTCAGCCCACCATGTCAGCCCACCAGTTCAGCCCAGGAGCTCAATTTCAGCTGATATCCCGAATCGCCGCGTCGGATATGCACGGCCACTTTGGGCCCCCAGGTCTGTTCCGCGAAGCCCTCCGTCCATTGGGGGTCGGGCTTCTCACTGGAGAAGTAGGCGGCATGGATGTGGGGCACCAGCTTATACCAGTGGCCAGATTCCATGTAACCTGATGCCACACAAAGCATCGAAGAGGCTCACGGTAGAGTGAAGTGTGCGAAGTGGTGGTTGATACCAAGAGTGACTTGAACCAGCTCTCAATATGAGTGGCAGTATGCCCTGGCTGAAGAACGGAAAGGCCAAAAGTTGGAGTTCCAAGTCGCCGTGGCAGTACATGCGATCCCAGCAGTTGTCCATGCTAACCAAGTCTTGGCCATCCTGGCGTCGGCCCCGCCCGGACCTTCGAGCGGTCGTGAGTTCGACCTGTCGTCTGATGTGTCCATGTTTTTTCAGTAAGAGTTTTACTTCAAAATGGTTGCGTTAGAGGCCAAGGACTCGATCATGTCTTGCTTCCTGTTCGAAGACAACTCCCTTATCAACACTGCTCCCAGTGAATTTGCCCCAGCAAAAAGGAAAACAAGTGGATAGTTGCGCATCAACCCCAGCACGGTCGCAAGATTGTCTTTACTGACTGCAAGCAACCAGGCCGGTCAGAATCAAAAAACATGGCGTCCTTCGCTGAAAACGCTGTGACTTCGATGGCGACGAAACGAGTCCGCCCCGCCTTTTTGCAGGTCAGGTTCCCCTTTTCCACCAAGCGCAGCCAGCCATTTTGCCAGCACTTTCCGACCCAGGGAACCACCTGCCTGCGCTCCTGGAGAGACTGCCACGCACCCACTGAACCCAAAAACGAGAAGGGTTCCATGAAGCGGAACCGCTCTAAGGTCCCGTAGGGTGGCAGAAACTCGGAATCCTTTTGGTGAGTCACAAGGTCACAACTTCACAACAGCGTTTCGGGCAGAAACTTCAGACACCTTCGGTTCACCTCTGTCCAATCATTCATTAAGACCAACCTTCTTCCAAGGCATCGCTAGGCTTTGTGAGAACAACTCCGACAGGATCAGGATGCCCTGCAGGTGGCAGTCCGAGGACACACCTCTCCCGTGTCATCCACCCCGTGTCATCCACCCCAGTGTCAACGCTTTCACCCAACAACACGTCGGTTCCGTTTTGCGGCGCGCGGGAACGCCGCACCGGAGACCGTGTGAGCCATGCCTTCATGGTGGAGCTGTTCAGCAGCCGGAATTGCGTGCTGAGGCCGAAGAAATTCTCAAAGAAGGCAGCCATCTTCGCTGGGTCTCGCACGTGCTGCATGGTATAGAAAGGCTTGTGGATATAGTCCTGGGTGCTGCATACTGCATTGACAATAGACCAGCAACGGAGAAGAGTCTCGTGTGAACTACCATGCAGTTTTTTCTTAGTTTAGAGTAGTTTAGAGGCCTATGCCGTATGCTTCATAGGATCTACAGGGGCGGAGACACGTAGGAACAGCTTTCTTTGGACGTTCGTTGCTTCATATATATATATATATATGTGAAAGCGGACATGGCACGGACCTATAAGCCAGTCTTCGCAGGAACCCTTAGTGCTCGGAAGGCAGAAAAGGGCGCCGCTGATATGCCCCGGGTGGGGCCTCCGCAGCTACATTGGTAGCGGAGCCCCACCCGGGGCACAAAAGAGCGGCCTAGGTAGACCGCGGCGACATGGCGTCAGCGTCTGAGGCCCAGGGCCTCAAGCGCTTTGGTGGGGAGGAAGAAGACCCTGGAAAACAGTTGAAAAAGTGGAAGACCTGGGCATGTGCGAAACTCATGACCTTCAAGGACATGCGCAAAGAACAGCGTGGTCCTTGGATCCTGACCTTGCTGGATGGCAAGGCATGGGACTCGGTGGAGCACCTGACTTTGGAACAAATAGCTTCGGCAGAAGGTGAGCAGTTGCTATGGAGCACATTGCAGGAGCGGTTCCCCGAGAAGGAGATGTCTTCGGACTAGTTGCCTCAGAAGGCGAGACAATGAAGATGTGGACAGCTCGGGTGAAGGAAGTCTTCGATGTCTGCAAGCGAAAAGCTTCAGTTGAGTTTCCTCCAGCCGCTCGAGGCTGGGTCGCCCTTCACTGTGCTGGCTTGAGTGAGGAGCAGAAGGCCATAGTGAAAGCAAAGACGCAAGGTAGTCTGGACCACGAGGCAGTGTCAGCAGCCTTGAGGTCGTGCTTCCCGCTGTACAAGGCGGCCGGAGGTCGCAAGAAAGCGACCGGGGTCTTCCAGGTGGAGCCTCTTGATGAGACAGAGAAGCAGGAACCAGATGATGACCACCAGTTCCAGGACGTCGAAGCGTTTTTGGCAGAACACGACGCTGCTCAAGCGTCGTTCACTGATGACGCTGTGTTTTCAGAGAGCGAGACTGCCGAGGCCCTTGCCGTGAGTTGGAAGGAGCGAAAAAAAGAGATTGCAAAGTTTCAGCAGTCGCGACAGTTTGGCTCAGCCTCCAGCATGCAGTCCAAGCGACAGTTCCGAGTGCAAGTGGAGGAGTTAAGAAGAGGACAAGATGCCGCCGATGCGGCAAGATTGGACATTGACAGAAGGAATGCAAGGAAACAGCAACGTCTTCCAGTACACCTGCAGTTGGTGCCAGCTATGTTGAAGTTGACTCACACGACACGCCTACTCCAGCCTTCGTTGGCTTGATGGAATGCCTCAGTGCTGTTGAGACTTTGGCGGCAAACTTGGTGTCGTCGCCAGGCTTTGGAGTGGTGGACTCAGGGTGTGGACGCACTCTGATAGGTCGTGAGACCTTGGCAGCTCTGGAACCAATGATCCAACAGAAAGGCTACGCAAAGCCGACTCGCTACCACTCGGAGAACACCTTCCGCTTTGGCAACGGAGCAGTGGAAAGCTCACAGCAGGCCGTCCGCATTCCTTGCGGAATTGGGCACCAGTACGGCATCATAGATGCAGCAGTCATCAGTGGCCATGCACCTCTCCTGTTGGGTCGACCGACCCTTGAGAAGTTGAAGGCACAGCTCGATTTCAGCAATGGCAAGATGGTCGTTTGTGGCAAAGAAACCTCCATGGTCACCAACCCCGCTGGGCAATTGCTAGTAGACGTTCTGGCCTTCCCGGTGAAGTGTGACCGTGAGAGCACCTGCCATGCTGCAGAACCGTGCCTCGAGCCCAGTGCGCATCAACCCTCTGACCAGGCGGGGGGAATTAAAGGGAAACAGAAAACCAAAATTACATTGAAAAAGAAAGAATGTCGATGTTTGCTTGCTCAGAGTTACCAAGCAGAAGCTCGAACTCGATCGAAAGTGTTGGTGGCAGAGTTGTTTTCACCGCCTCGTTTTTCCCTTGCAGCCGAGCAGCTTGGTCACAAAGGATTGTCCTTTGATATTAAGCAGGGTTGGGATTTGGAAGATGCAAAAACCCAAAAACAAGTCGATAAGATGTTGGAAGAACAGTGTCCCGCCCTCCTAGTGGTGAGCCCAGAATGCAGACACAGAGGTGGCTGGGACCATCTCAATCGCCGCTATCGAACACCACTTGAGCAAGCACGCCTGATTCAGTGCTCCCGTAGACAGATTTTGTTTTGCAAGCAGCAAGTTGTCAAGCAGATCAAACGGGGTGGAGAATTTTTGTGGGAACACCCCCTTGGATCCGAAATCTGGGAAGAAACGGAAGTGAAACCCCTGAAAAGGAAATATGGGTTGAAACGAGTTGACATGTGTGCATACGGCTTGAAGTGCCCAGACTCATGTATGCCGATCCACAAGCCCACAGGTCTGCTTGTTTCTTCAGGTCCGCATCATGACCTGAGCCATATTAAGACATGTCCTGGCTGCGCACGACATCGTCAAATTGCTGGGAAGTTGAAGTCCGGTCAAAATGTCAGCGCATTTGCTGCTGCATATACTCAGGACTTTGTTAAGCACATGCTGTTCATGCTAGTCCCCTGCTGTAAGCCAGAAGACATGGTGCAGAAGTGCTCTTGTCCGAGTTGGACCTCCAGTGTCTGGCGGCTGAATCAGCCGCGCGTGTTGTTGAACCGGAGCAAGCGTTGGCGCCGCCCAACTCTGACCAAGGTCCCGGTGTCTTGGACGCACGAGACGACGTAGTCAAGAAGGCACTGAAGCGACTCCACGTGAATCTTGGACACCCCAGCAACAAGGACCTGGTTAGAATTCTCAAGCATAGTCGTGCGTCCGAGACAGCTATTCGTTTGGCTCAGGATTTCACCTGTGCTGTGTGTCAGAATCACGTGCAGCCATCTAGCGCGCTGCCGGCCAAGAGTTCACGACACAGTGAATTCAACGAACGGGTTGGTCTGGACGTGAAGTACTTGCCAGGGTGGAAACCTAACCAGCAAGTACCCTGCATTAGCATTGTTGACTATGCCACTTCTCTTCAAATTGTGGCCCCCATCTTTGAACGAGAATCAGCTGAGGTCCTCAAAGGGGTACTTCGAGACTCTTGGATTGCCTGGGCGGGACCCCCGCAACAGCTAGAAATGGATCCATCGAAACCCAATCTCAGCGAAGCACTGGGTCACTTCTGTGAAACCATGGGCATAGATCAGTTGTTCATCGCAGCAGACTCACATTGGCAATTAGGAAAGGTTGAACGACACGGCCATTGGTTCCAAAAGATCTTTGAACGAGTCCTTGATGACTGTCGTCCCAGTTCCCCCGAAGACTGAGAGCTCGGCCTCGACCTCGCAAAGAACTCCAGTCTGGTGATTGGGTCTATTACTGGAGGACACAAAAGTGGGAACAAGGAAGCCTCATCCGAGGCGGTCGTTGGCATGGTGCAGGGATGCTCTTAGGACGTATTGGGATCAACTGGATAGTGGCTCACCGTCGCAGCTTGTTTCGTTGTTCCCCAGAACCCACAAGCCAAGAAGAATGGACAGTAGGAGAGTTCGATGCCGGAGAACTTCTTGGAATCAAAAATTTGCTGGAACGGGGACAGTTTCCTAAGGGACAGTTTGTTGATTTAGTCAACATGGACAACCCTCCGCAGGCTGAACAACTAGAGGCTTTTCATGGTACTCAGCATGTCGGACGCAGCGAGGACGAGCCTCTCACCGCAGCCGAGATTCGTGCCTCACAGCTGGAAACGTCAGGACCAACTGAGGTCGGGCATGAAGTTTCGAATTCGGAGCAACCTGTTTCTGGAACCGGAACTGCAGCCAGGCCAAGAACGGAGGACTACGGTCCCATCCGTCGGGTTCGACACACGGAGAAATCTCCTCCTCAATACCTCACTCGACCTGCTGTTATGGCCCAGGAAGACTTTGCCGAGATGATGGAAGAAGTCATCCCATCCCTGATCCAACAGCATCTTCAAGACAGTAACATGGAACCTGAACGCCCGACTAGTCCTAGAGGGGAGAGTTCAAAGCGTGAAGCCAGTTGGGAACCCCTTGAACAACCTGCACATCGACCGCGAATCGAGGTGAACGATGAGGTTTTGTTCACTGAGGTTTTGTTGGCTCAGGCTCGTGACATGCAAAATCAAACCGGACTGAGTGTGATCGACAGCTTAACTGCTGCCTTCCTTCAAAAGAGACAACAGAAAGAAATCAAAGCATGGGGTAAGGAACCTGAACTGCAGCACCGCATTGACCTCTCGAAAGGTACTGAGTGGGAAACACTAGAAGGAAAAGATGCAGTGCGAGTGTGGAGAGGCGCCAAGGCGGCTGAAATTCGCGCCCGGCACCCTGATCGATTTATTGGAAGTCGCTTTGTGGTCGTGAACAAACATGACGAACAAGGAGAACGCATCAAAAGTAGATGGTGTCTGCAGGGCCACTTGGACCCGGACTTTCATGAGAAAATCAGTTCAGGAGCGTGCCACAGCCCGACCATGCATCCCCTGTCTCGAGCCCTTCTCCTCCAAGTCATCGTAAGTAAGAAATGGGAGCTGCAGCTAGGTGACATCAAGGAGCTTTTCTAGAGGCTGGGCCCATAGATAAGAAATATAGGCCACTCTTTGCTGAACAGCCACCTGGTGGCGTACCTGGCTTGGATCCCTCCGATGTGATCGAAGTGTTAGGCAACGTGTACGGATCCAATGACGCGCCTATGAACTGGTGGGGGACGTTCGATCAGGCAGCTAGAGAGACTTCCTTCGTTCGGTCACAGTTTGACAGTTGCATGTACATGTTGCGTGACAACCAAGGACACTTGTGCGGAATTTTGGGTTCTCATGTCGACGACACGATCACTGCTGGGGAAGGACCAGTGTATGAAGCCGCAATTGCCAAATTGAAAGAAAGATTCCCATATCGCAAATGGCGACGGGGCAATGGGGAGTTTTGTGGGGTAGTGTACAACCAAGATCCAGTCTCTAAAGAAATCACCTTCAATCAGAAAGAATATGCTCAACACATGAGGCCCATTTGTTTGACCAAAGAGCGAGCTCGTCAAAAAGAATCCAATGCAACAGAGAAAGAGATCTCTGTTCTCAGGGCCGTCAATGGGGCTGCAAACTGGGTGAGTGGTCAGTCGAGACCGGACCTATGTGTTCAAACATCGTTCTCACAGCAATGTTTTCCCGATCCTAAGGTGAGTGATCTGCACTTTGCGAACCAACTAGTTCATCGTGCCAAGCAATATAGTGATGTCGAAATCACAGTCAAACACATACCGTGGGACTCGATCGAATTGTGTTTTCACTCGGATGCTGGATTCGGAAATGCTAAGGGCCATAGTACTCAGGCGGGATACATTGCTGCTTTTGTAGATGGCCAGCTGAAACAGAATCAGCCGAGTGTGTGGTCACCGTTCGCGTGGAAGTCATATCGTTTGCCTCGCAAGGTAGCATGTACCTTAGGTGGAGAAGCGCAGGCCTTTTCAACTGCTAGTGCAGTGTGTGAATGGATGGCTCTCATGCTAGTGGAAGCCAAGCACGGTCCCTTTGATTTGAGAACAACTGGGCAGGTAGACTTTCCACCTACGACGGGTCCAAAGACGCTGTTTAGAGATGAGATTGAAAGGGTCCCTATCACCGGCATCACCGATTGCAAATCTCTGTTTGACAACATCACTTCGGTGTCAGCCATTTCCAAACAAGACGACAAACGCATTGCCATAGACTTAGGTATCACCAAACAGTCCATGCTCCGATGTGGCCTCACCATTCGGTGGTGTCCAACAGAACTGATGCTGGCTGATGGCTTGACCAAGGACTCTCAGGAAGCAGCTGACTTACTGAGGTCCGCTCTGGCCTTAGGTGAATACCAGCTTCATCCTGAAGCTCAAGTGCTTGCCCGCAAAAAAGAGTTTCGAAACGAAAGACAAGCCAGAAGAGTCAGGCAAATGCAGTGGGAGGCAGAACAACAAGAAAGAAAGAAAAACAGCACAAAGGGTCAGGGGAAAGGACATCGGTGAGAACACCTATGTCACATGTTTTTGTTTGGGGTAGCTTGTTCGCTGAACAAGCCAAGGTGCTGGGGCTGACAGACCTCGCTTGTTGATGTAGGACATGTGTCCGTTTGGTCGTGTCATTCGCTCCGGCCCTGTCATCTCATGGGAGTGCCGTTGAATGAGTGGGGGTAGACTCATACCAGGCAAGAGGCTTTTTCTTTTCGATCTGTTTGTGCAGTGTCGATGATGCAGTTTCACGCGAATTCGTTTCGTCCAAAGACACGGAAAGTCCAGACCTGCACTTTGGGAAGAGTTTTCACGGTTCAAGCAAAGCCGCTCGTGACTCGTTTTGTTTTGTGAAGCTTAGGTGCATCGTGAAATGGCATACCGCAGCAGTCATACTGAGGAACAGATTTCTCAGGAGACCTTTGAGGTCATCCAAGACCTCTTGCGTCGAGGTCAGCTGCAGAGTGTAGTGTCACGAGTTCAGGATGAGATTGATGCACAAGCTGATGCGTCTTGGGAACCCACGACGCATGGAGCCATGCATGATGGTTCGAAGCGCCGTTTGATCGCAGGAGAGAGCTCAGGTGACCATGGTTTTGAACTTGTGAGTGCCGCCTGTGTCCCTATGCCGTCTTCTTCACCAGGACTACATGGCCAGAACGCTGCGCCAATGAGTGTGAATGTGCAACACCCAATTCCTCCAATGCAAGACAGGGGAAAGCCGGCGGCAGTCGCGTTGCCTCCTGGCATCAGCTCCCATTGCTGAGTGGGGCGCTACCATTTGCACGCTTCCCAAGGTGAAGGGCCGCAAGATCCGCTACCAAGAGATGCTCGACGAAAGTCGTTCGTCTAAGGCGATGTCCGAGTATCTGCAGTGGATCAAGACCTCAGGCGTCAAGTCAGCCAAGGTCGACGACCTGAAGGCATTCATGAGTGCTGCTGGGTTCAATCCTGAAAGTGTGTCAGGTGGTCACATCACCTATCCTGGCACCACGATCCAGCGCGAATTTTAGAGAGTGTTAGGCATGTGAAAGCGGACATGGCACGGACCTATAAGCCAGTCTTCGCAGGAACCCTTAGTGCTCGGAAGGCAGAAAAGGGCGCCGCTGATATGCCCCGGGTGGGGCCTCCGCAGCTACATATATATATATATATATATATATTCCTGTGAAAAGCGGATTGATAATTCGTATTCATCCACCCCGGTCTTTTTCGCTTCAAGCGCCACCGGAGGCAGCAAGTCTCAAAAAGCAAAAACCTCGGAAAACACCAAACACGATTGGACCGGATTGAACAAAACACACACACACACACACAATCCACGCAAGAAGGAGGCTCAGTGCCAATATGACTCACCCATCTTCCTTCGAGGAGAAAGGCACGACCCTCTCACGCTGTGCCAGTGCTGACTGAGCATCTAAGCCCACAAAGGAGGCCATCGCAATGCACGAGAGCTTCCCCTCCAGCTGGTGCCCAATCCCATCTCGTCCTGCACCCAAACGGCGCCGGCGGAAATCCCCCAGCTGGGAGCAGGAAGCACTGAGAAAAACCCCTCAGGGACAGCCTAGGGACAGGCAGGTGTGTTTATATTTATATTCTAACTGTCTGTGCCTGACTGAGCGTTCTTCTCCGACTTGGATCGGAGCGCTGTTTTCCAGAACGAAACTCCCCTCTGAGACGCTGTGAGGAACTCGGCTGACCGTGTTCGGTTCCTCAAAACGAAGAAAAAACTTAAACGGGAAGGACATGAGATGTTATAAAGTTCCATGGTGCCAAAGCCAAGAAGGGGTTGGGAATTCTCGTGGAGTAAAATACATGTATATCCATGGGAATGAAAGTGTCCCAACATCCGGAACCCGGCATGCATAGAATATGATGAAACAACATTGATTAAGGTGCCATGTTCTTACTATGGATCAATTCAATAGATAAAATGCTTTTCATCCAGGTCCTGACTGAGTAATCATGCATTTCACCTCGCTGGGAGCATAAAGGTCTTTGTATGCCTCCAGCGACCTGAGGACGAAAGACCAGTTGCGGAAGATGAGCTATGGATCTCAACGAGTGAGCTTGGCCATGGGAAAGCGCGATCAATGGCTCCATTTCATCATGTGCACCAGCTACGCACCGAAGGCGCAACTATTGGCACTCTGAAGAATTCTCTAGACGTGCAAGGAAAACAGCAGCCACTTTACAAGGAACACCATGGCTTCTTTTCCAGTGAGCGAAAGCCTGCACCACTTAGTAAGTGGGGCTGATGGTCCACTTCAACTCTTGGCAAACCTTTCATCTTTCGTCCGTAAAGAGCCCTGCAAAGCCACGTCCGTCAACACGGTTTCACCGGTCATCGTGAAAACCGTTTCCCCCGTTCACGTCGCCCCGTTCTCGTTCCCAGGAACGTGGTGGGCGCCGCGGTCGGCGCTGCCGGGGCCACAGTGGTCGGCGGTGTGGCAGAGGTTGCGAAGGACATCTGCAGAAAAGGTTTGCCAAGGGCGGCTGGTGATGTGTTCTCACTTGGCTGGATTGAAAGAATCTCATTCAGTGAAGACCACAGGTTTTGGGTGGGAACCCCATGTGACCAAGCAATTCTCCATGTGTCAATTCTGCCTGCCACACTCTGGCCTGCAAGGGTCACCGGGAGATGGAAAGGATGATCGAACCAAATCAACATGCTTCCATCATATAGCTGGCATTAGCTGGCAAACAATGAAATATCACCCGGGGCAACAGGAGAGTGTGAAACGCCAGTCAGACACACCAACCAGAAGATGCTGTTCAGTAGCCGATGCTCCTCCTGATGCTCTCCTCTCAGACATGATGCTCTTTCTGCACCGCACCTTTGCAATCATCCTTTCAGTCGAAGGCAAGGCATCCACATAACTGAAAAGAACCTGAAGAGACCCCACGCCGCCGCCCACGCAACGACGGTGCGTTGTGGGACATCACGACGGTTTGAGGGTCTCTGGTCGAAAAGGGCTCTGGGACATCCGGGCATCCAAGTGAGGGGCCCCCAAGACCCATGCATTCATCGCTTCATGGAGGGGGATGACCCCCCATTTCATAGCGGTGATTCGTTTGGTCGGTGGGGCCATTCCTGTGCCCCTCTCGTGGCCTCACGGCATTGTGCACAACCTCTCAAACACGAATCATCCAGGATGAAAGGGTTTCACCGCTTGGGAGCTCACTCTCAAAAACAAAGTGTTCAGTCACAGCGGCCATCCTTTCAAGCGTCGGAGCATCGATCTCTCTTCCTGCCCCAAAAGATGTTGAAAGCAGCCTCAAAAGATCTAGCTCACCCGCTTCATGACCCGCCAAGACCCAAGCAAAACGCCTCATCTGTGAAGCCCGAACCTGCCCGCGCGACCAAAAAGAATAAATACCGCGGGGGTGGGTGGGAGGTCCGAGCTCCGGCAGTCCGAGGGGCTGCCAAGGCCACCAGTCCGACCCCCAAGATGAGGTTTCGCACCAGGATCTCACAAGCACCCATGGCGCCGCGCCCACGCGGGCGTCCTCACCCCCGATCCGTCCACTCAGCGGGGTGCTTCGGTGCTTACCCGGTGACCCCCGTTTGGTGAGGCGGAGTTCGGAGTTCGACCGGTCGAGTGCGGATCAGATGAGACGTTGGGGCGCCCACGTGGCGTGAGGATTGGTATGTTCCATCCGGGAGTGAAGCAGCGTTCTGTCCAACCACCAAGAGACGCAAAGGGATCTCCCTGAGTTCGCGCAGGTGACGGTGGGTCACTTCCATGACTTCTTCGGTCAAATAAATCCCCAAAAATCCACTATTGCCTGCAGGCTGCAGGCTGACAATTATAGATATATCTGCGCTGCTGACATGAAGTGCCTGGGTGGGCACTATGACCTCTGTGATTCTTGTGTATGTGTATGCTCCGTGCTGAGCCTCTACGGCTGCTACCAGTATATATCCTCAAAATCAACAAACTGACAGAGACCAGAGCTCAATGATGGAAACACCTGGCTACCCACTGGCAGACAACAGCTGTCAAGCCACGGGTGAAAGGGATTTAGAAAAAGACGATGAAGGCTCAAGGGTCACCAAAAGATATCCTTGGGATTGAAGGCGAAACCTGAGACATGTTGCTTGCTGCTTGAACTTGTTTCAATCTAACATCAAATGTGCAAAAACCCATTCGAAGACCCTTTGGCAGTCGAAGCCACTGGCAAAAACAACCAAACGAAAAATGAAAATAAAACAATAACACGTGGAATCTCTCATCCGATTGGTTCCTCATGGCATGTCAGCTAGGCCGTCAGTGCTTAAGTCCAGTTGGTCGAAAAACTGATTGACGAAACAGTTTCACTTCCCACAGAGTTCTGGGTCAAGGGGTCCATTTTCTGATGTGTGGACTCTCAGATCTAAGGACGGTCAGATGGAAAAGCACAAGTGACACAGGACAAGTGACCGGAGAATGACTTCAAAAGGTTCAACAAATCACAGAATATCACAGAATCATGAAAAGCTTTGGGTGACAGGGGTGCTTGCTTTCTGCTTGTCATCCAAGCTGCATGCAACAGGTCCACGTCCAGAGATTCAACAAAGCTCATTGCAGACTTGGAAGCTAAGACTAAGATACCCCAATCTCAACCCTGGGTTCTGAACCCTCAGTGATACAGGACCCCCAACTGGACTTCCTTCCCTGCTTTCTGAACCCACACCGCCCGGCCGCGTTCGTGGCGGTGTTTCTTTCGTTTCAAGACCACCCGGTCGGCGGTCGGTGCCTTTTTCGCTCGCGAAACCGCGCGACGGTGCGACGTGACGGGACGTGCGCGACGGTCGACGTGACGGCCCTGTTCTTCAGACGCCACCGCCCAGGTTGTCTGCATCCACGTCTTGCCTCGCTGCCGAGGAGGTTGGCCATCCCTCTTAGGTTGGCCAGGGCGTTCTCTCCACACCGTCCACGGCTTCGCCGTGGAGCCCCTAGCGTCCCTCCCACCGTGCGACGTGCCGAAGCGGCTGAGCCGGAGTGAAGAGGAGGCCTCGTCCGACCTAGCCAACTTCCGCTTCCGATGCTCAATGTCTTTCAATGTTCCCCACAAGGACATGCGAGCTGATCGAGTTCGGTGGAGATTCACCTTCAAAAAAGACATATCCCTATGGCGTCGCCCGTCCTCCACGTGCGTAAAGCCGAGTCTAGTCGTCAAGCCGAGTCTAATGGACTCTAATTACTGAAGTGTCTCAGCTACAAAAAGACCTTCTTCCCTGAACAAGTCGCTGTTTTTTTGGGGGGAGACTCCCTAGGAACTCAATTTCTTCTCTCGCCGAAACCCTGCCGTCGTGAGTCCGCCCCGCGGGGAAGTAGCATGTTGCAGGAGCTGTTCATGTATGAACCCTGCACAAAGAGAGAGAGAGAGAGGCAAAAAAATCATGGACATTCATGAAATGATCTATACCTCAGGCTCTTCACATACCGTGCTGATGCCACTCACCCAAGATCTATCTTCCTGTCCTCCTGTCGCAGTTTCCTCTGTCCACGTGGCCAAGCCATGAGGGGATCGGTGAACCAATAGGCACCAGTCATGCCATGCCGATTGATGTGCGTCCGCGTGCGATTGTGGAAGTGGTCTCAGTCAGCCGTCGAGGGCGCGGGCTCGTTTTGGGCTCGGAGAGCACGAGCCCGAACGCGGATGAGTCGAAGCGATGGGTCGAAGCCCTCCACGGAGCGAATCTCCATCCGGTGGGGCGGGTCGCATCCATTTGTGCCCAGAAGATGTTGTATCAAGTGGGTCCAGACTTCTAGAATGGGTTTGGCTCAAACATCTCAAACGACCCAAGGACAATGCATCGCCTCGCCCCAAACCCATCCGATATATCCGATAGGTATGTGGTGGAAACAAGTGAAAACCCTCAGAGTGAACATTTTTGGAGAGTGAGCAGAATCGGTGGGTGACGCATGTGATCCAAATGACCTCCCCTTGTTGAGTTGCGCCAGCCTCATCATTGTTTCGTCTCTTCGAATCCCTACGCAGTTGCCATTGTGCGCGCAGGTAGAGCGACAAGGCAGACGCCCCGAGCTAATGCGGGCATGAGTTGATGCGTGTCCAAGGCATCTTGACATATCATTCATGTGTGTGTGTGTGTTGATGTGCCAACCATGAACCTTCATTACAACCAGATGGAGTCCAGTAAACATATCCAGGAACGTGAACATAAATAAATATATACATGTCGGTCTACAACGGTTGCATCGCCATCCCCCGGTTTGGGCAAATCGGACATCCCGACACCAGGTGGCGTGCACCATCCATGACCGCATCGGGGGTGATCTGGATCGGAGAGTTGGCTTGGCTCATCATCAACGCGCCATAGATGCTAATGACCTGGAAGAGAGTGAGAGAAAGAGGACGTCAGTGATGCTAATCACCCGTCAATCACCATAATTGACCGGGTAGTCCATGCCGTCAATTGACCGTTCGGTGTCCCAATCAAAGGCATGATGATGCTGGGAATGTGTGTCATTTTTTGTAAACGACATCCCCAATGACTTTGTGCGTGCGCATGTTCTGTGGGCAGCGCTTTCAGCTCCACTGCAACTACTAACTACTATAAAAAGAAGCTCGTTCGGACACAAGGATTGACCTGAGCTTGCCAGGCCGGGCAAGCCATCCCTAGGTTTGCAGCTGTTTGGATATCTACCTTGGGAAACAAATCCCGGAGAGGCCCTGGACCTGTGGCATTTCCACTCAGTTTGAGGATTGTCCAAATTCCCAAAAATGTGGTTGTTTTTAACACAGCTGAGCGAGTCCGTCAGTCCAAGTCACATATGCATGAATGCACATGCCGGGCCATCCATTCTTCCTCAGTCAAGCAGGTGCTACACAGCAATGGTAAAAATTTAAAAGCATCTTACTAAGGACTTAAGGCAGTGCGTTTATTCGAGGAACCCTGAAAAGCCCGTGGAAAACATATTCGGAGTATGCGACAGGTACGAAGGCCCTGCTTCCTGCTTGTCATACTCTGGTGTGTCTTATCGAGAGACCGATCCTGAATGAACTCTCAGTCCACCCCGAAAAGGAAACGTGTTGCCACGACGGGGGGCTTGGCCTTTTCAAAGACACACCCACTTTGGGTCCTCTTCCTTCCCGGTTTCTGCCCTGCACTGGGAAGGCACCCAAAGATTTCATTCAAACAGTATCCAGCGATGTGGCCAAGTCAGGTCAAAAACTGCAGCCAGTGAGTTAACCTTTTCAATTTGGCAAGTGTCCTCATTGTTCCCCACTGAACTCCAAAAAGCTTTCATCCGTTTGGGCTTCACAACCCCATTTCATCCGTTTCGGCCTCCTGAAAGGAGCCCCATCCATCCCAGTCCGTGGGCCCGTCCGTGGAACTTCGGGTCTTCCTGTCAACCCTCCCAAACCAAACACCGCTGTTTTCGGCGTTGAGGGGGACTGGGAGATCCGATCGGATTGCGGGGGGTCCTCCGCTGATCCCAAGAGACAGGGTGGGCACACTGCTCTGATCCGGAGGGTGCGCTCCTCACCATCGACGAAGGTTGCGTCGACGTCCGACGCTCGATACCATTGGGTAAACCACTGACGTTTGGGCAAGAAAAAAGGCAGGTCAATGGCTAGTAGCAAACTGGCAGGGAGGTGACCTTACCCTTCATCACCAATGGCGTATAAAATGGTAAAAGAGAAAATGACAAATACCACCATTGGAGTTGGGAAATCTTCACTTCTGGCCTCTACCTGCTTCTGGCTTCTGGCTGTGGGATATGAATCCCCAGACTTTCCGAGGACAGTCGCACGGAGAGATATCAACCTACCAACCTCTGCCTTTGTTGCAAAAGGCTTCATTTGACCATGCAAAAGCCCATGGAAGTGCCCATGTTCTGATCCTGCCCACTGTTGAGAAAAGACTGGTCTTGGTACTGAACCGACCTGTGTTTTCCATGCGTAAACTTCATAGAAGACGCTTTCCACGCACTTCCACTAGCTTAGAACTAGCCACCTAGGGAGGTATTTAGTGGAATCCCTTTTGAAAATCCATTGCAAATCCTTGGAACTTGTATCATCTATATAGTTCGGGACCTCTGACCTATTCAATCATTTTTGGTGCGTTCGCACCTGCCTCTGCTCAGCACATCTAGGCGCACAGCCTGCCAAAAACTGCTCCGCTCCTTTGTCCTTCTTGGTGTGGCACCAGCCCAGCAACATGATGTCGAAGTTGGGCATGCCGGCCATCCTCAAACGGCACAATTTTTTATGCCCCAGCACACGTGTGCCACACCGAAGACGGAGAAGGCATTTGCCGAACTCATGTTAAATCAACCCAATCCAGTTTGTCAGTATCTGGGAGGTTGGAAGAAGGCGTGGAACGCCCAAAAAACAGCCACAGAGGAACCTGGACCCATCACCAAAACCGAAGACGTCACACAAGAACCAAATACCCCAAGCTACCAGCATGCTCAACTTACCGGTCTATCTACCACATGCTCCCGCGTGCGACCCACGCATGAATAAACTCATAAAACCATGGGCCTCTGGAGATCGAAAAACCGTCGAAACCCGTCGATCTCCTGGAGATCGTGTCCTGTGCTCCTGGTGAGTAGGAGACACACCCCGCAGACACGTCGAACCGAACACGTCGAACCTTGAGTACCGGAACCGAAAGAATGCCGGAACCGTTCACCTGTTCTCCTCTCCACGGTACAGACTCAGCACTGGACCTTCTACACCACACCCATGGCTGGACGGTTCTGATCGTTCCTCTGAAGGAAAACCCCCCGACGAACGCCGCGTTTCCCGAGGCGCGCCGTTTCCTCCGAGGTGCGCCGCTTCCCCCAGCCGCTGCGAGAAGTTCCCCGCCAGCCCGGCGTCGTCCTCCTGGGTGTTTGTAACGGGAGGCCCTGTTGTAACAGCAAAACAGCAAAAAGTAAAAGCTTTGAAAAGGAACACGTTGACGCATGCTCCAAAAGATCTCTTGAGGTGGACAAAAGGGTCTACATATAGAGAGACAGAGAGAGAGAGTCTTTAGAAACCGCCAAATTCACGGAAACATTGGACACCCCTTCTTCCGAGCCACGAACACCATGGCGCAGGGCCAGCCTTCGGCTAAGACTTTCCTTCAGCGCCGCTCCGTCGCTCGGAGCTCTTTTTCGGAGGCTCGGTCGGCTGGATCCATGCTCAGAAAGGACGTTTTGGATGTGGGTTTTGGGCAGGTTTTTGGTCTATTGACCACTGACCCAACCAGTTGAGAAATTTGTTGGACCCTAGGTCTTCTTAGAGGCTGGATGGGGCCTTGGCTGACCTAGGTCCACTTCGCAGGGGCTGGAGGAGAAGCTTGTTGATAGGTCCACCTCTTTTGTTTCAATTCGGGATGTTTCCTGTCAAGATGTCAGCCCGCCCAAGTCCTCTTGACCCTCTATCAACATTTCAACTCCTAGTCCAGGTTGGGCGCATGCCGCATACCATCATTAATTCAAAAAAGCGGGTTGCGCCGTTCAGTTTCACGGGCACAAAAAACATAGTTTGTCCTTCCTAATTGTGCGCAAGTAGCAAAGATTGCCAGGTTTTGTTTGGGTCTGCACTCCTATCTAGATTTCACCCATCCGTCGTTGGCGCTGAAAAAAGCAGTTGAGTGAGTCTGAGATGACCTCCACAGTAAGGTCAGCGACCCACCTGTACAGGTATATAATGGCAGGTCATTGAAACTATGTCTGTTTCTAGACCACTTTCTTCCATAAACTAAATAAACAATCTGAGTCCGGGTTCTATAGAAGTATGTAAACATCCTCCGTTCCTTCGTCGGCTGGACCGGACATGTTGTGGCCAGCTGGGCTCAGACTCCTGTTGTCGCTCCGGAGACACGCCCAGGTAACGCCCAGGTCGCTCCTTCGTCGCCCAGGTAACGCCAGGTCTCTCATAGACCCGTCGATGGCTCATGGCGCAACCCAGGGTATTGTGACCTCAGACGAAACGGACCAGTCTGAGGAGTCTGAGGGGTCTGAGGAGTCGAATGTGAAAACCGAAGCGTGGGGCCCGGAATCGGACCCAACAGGTCTGCCTTATATCGTGGAAAGGAACTCTGAGTCCTGCTTTCCAGTGGTCGAACAGGTCTCATACTACTTTACTGAAAACAAGGAGGCGTCTCACTTTGGAAGGTACCAAATGCACCTGAGTCTGACTGGCTCTCCACCTGACTGGCACCTCCAATCTCCGAGTCCACTCGTCGGGGTATTGTCATTCAAATGGAGTCAACTAGTGGCATGGGTCACATACAACTCAGAAGAGGAGGAATAGATTACCCATGAGTCCCAAAATATATAAAAACAGCTCTTATAAGACTTATAAGTGCACCAAACCCATGTGTTTTGTGTTTTTATTCTTCGTTTTCAACCTGTTTCATATCGAAAAACGTGTTGGAGAACGGAAGCAGCGGCTGTTTCCGGTCTCACACACGGGTGATGGGGAACGCTGCTCTGAGCGGAGCGGAGCTGACCAAAGCATGCAGAAATGCTTCAGTTTCGACGGGCAAAACGGAATCGAAATCGCCTGTGAGCTGAGCCTCTTTTTCATGCCTCAAATTGGTCGCCACCAACTACCACCGCAGATCCCCCGTGCATCCCCTTGCACTTGTCAGCGTCTGGTCAAGACACAACGTGCAGGATTGGTGCAAAGGCCCAAAATGTTCTTCAGTTCCCGATTCAGCTGATCGTCCTGGAGAGATTGATCGTCCTTCAAAGAGTGCTTTAGCGGAGCTAAACTGACGTAGGTCAAGTTATTCGGTGGTTGCCTTGAGAAGTGCCCTGAGCAGGGGGCTGGATAGAAAGGGGAAAGCAAGGTTCTGAAGCTCCAAGATCATCTGTAAGAGGAAACCCCTGTGCTTGTGTGCTTGGACACCTGCGGAGCCAGCATGGCCTGGAACATCTCGGGATCGATTGGTTGGGGGGGGCGAGCCGCACAGGAAGCGGCTCGGGGAAAAGAACTGGAGGTATCTTATGGGATGTTTTTGGTCAGGCCATCACTTGAGTCAGTCAATCTATAGACTTGAGTAAAACAATCTCATCCTCCGCATCAACCATGAACACCTCAATCTGGCCCACCAGTCAGGAGAGCACAGTCGTTCACTCACACGAGAAGGCGTATCAGACCGGTGCTCCAGAAGGCGTATCAACCCGGTGGACCGGCTCACGACTGGCGGCTACTCCTTCTTGAAGTCCACTGCTGGAAAGAAGTTGTACTTCTTCACCCCAGCCTCAAACGACATCCAGTCGAAACTCCAACCCTTGCTGGTCAAAGAAAAGAATGCATTGTAGCTTTCTCCGACAATCAAGAGCCTTGGCAAACGTGCCCAAAAAACACTATAAACACAATGCTCCTTCTTGTCCCTCGAGGATGTCTTCCCTCCATGTTTGTTTTCTATAAGGCACGCGGATCATGCGAACGATCTTCGCTGTACTTGATGAGTATGTCAGTATGTCTATGTTGTTTCAGCTTTGGAGGGGAAGAGAAGCAAAGAATTGGAAGTAAGACTACTTCCTCCAACAAAGAGCCTTTCAGCAACCTCCAAACTTCTTGGCCTTTTGGGTCCCAGCACCGAAGATCAACGCCGGTCCACCCTTCAGGAACCCCCTATTTGGGGACAGGGATCTTTCTCTCACCGGGGTGACCAATTCATTGCGGTTGGATTCAGAAGTGAGTTCCGCAGATACCAACCAACACCAGACAAAAAAAGACTGCCTTCACCAAGCTCCACAGCCCTGAAGAAAGGGTCTAAGGGATTCTAAGGGTCTTAGACACCCCAAATAGATAGAAGTTCGTAGATCACAGACCGAATGCATTGGAAACCGTGGGACCATGACCGTGGGACAGGCGACCCCTTCCAACGGTCCAACGGTCTGACCGTCGTCGCCTTCTCGAACTCACGGACCATGTGATCTCTGCGGCCTTTGCCACGGTCATCTTCCAGGTTGATCACTATCACGTGCTCGAAGGGATCCTTAGCGAAGAAGCCGGAATTTTTAGGCCCAACTCTGAAGAGACCTCGTGATCCAAAGCCTTTCCCCCAACACTGGAACAAGAAGGAGTCACGTGTTTTTTGGGAGGAAAGCGTGAAATACGCGCCTTTCCTTGGACAGGGAACCCCCTTACAGCTTGAAGGAATTCAAGGTCTCCAAGTATTCCTCCCAAAAACCAACATGGCTGGAATCAGGGAGAGGCCATGTTAGACCCCCAGCTTCAAGGGCTGGGGAGTCACCTCGAAAAGAAAGAACAAAGAACCTCTGCATGGTCCAGCTTTCTCCCAGACACTGAGTGCTCTCAGCCGACAGCGAGGCAACGAACCGTCACGCGACGATCGCGACGATCGCGACGATCGCGACGTCTGGGCGGGTCGGGCGTCGTTTGCGTCTGCTACTTGTTGTCATTGCTTGCAATGGTGGCAGTAGCACACACCTTGCAGGACGATCTCCTTCAATCTATAGTAACTACCCCAAGTCTGTCTGGTGGCGAAAGGCAAATATGGTTTCTTCCCGAGCTCCAGGACAGTGGCGGGCTTTGCAAGAGTTGACTTGTGGGATGATATACAATAGTGATACCGTTGGCGGGCAAGTCATTGCATCACACAAAGAATCTCTCCCACGAACCCACGAAACACCACGACGGCGGATTTCGAGCGAAGATCGTCCCATTGTCTCCGAAGTGTGGGAGAACTTGGAGGTCCAGACCTCCACGATGTCCTATACCTAGAAACAATAGAGGGGTCGATGCCACCTACTGGTGGTACACTGGAGGCGTTGCCTCTGTTTTTTTCACCAACCGTACAGCTGTAGGTCAGGCCGGTCGCCACCGGCCTACATGGTCCGGTCGTCTGTGGCCCTCACGTTGTCCGGGCGAGTACCGAGGGGCGCAGAGGAAGGGTGGTGGAAGTTGGAGGACGACCTGCTCCTCAGGCACTCGCTTCAGAAAGCTCCCCTTGACCAGCTCCGGAACCTCGTCCTGGTGGGACTGCAAGTCCAAACCGGTGGGTTCAAATGGAGTGGAACCTTAAAGGAGAGGAACCGTGAGAGGATTTGTGTCCCGTTCTATCACATGAGACGTCTTGAAGTTTTGAAGTTCAGACAAGGGTCAATTAGACCACAGGAAGAACCTTCTGCCATTCCAAGTGATCTTCCATCATCCTATCTAACTGGCTGATGCATGATAAACCATCGTCCCACCCTTGTATTCTTCTTGGGCCAGCCAACGGCGAGCAAAGTGTTCACAACCAAGTGAACTTCGCCAAGTTTTGTGACTTAGGCTATCTAGACACAATACAACTGAGCCTCCCTGCGACTTCCCCTTTCCAGTCGCAAAACTAATAGCACCCAGGTTCCATGGCTTCCCAGACTTCCTTCCCTCTGCTCCGCATCATCCGTGGACGCTAGTTTTGAGGGTCTGGGAGATGATTTGGTTTTTTGGTGGTAACCCCAACTTCGTGATGTTTTGGAGGCTTCAAGGACCCCTCCAACCCAAGACAGAGACCCCTCCCTAGACCCATGTGGATAAGTCTCCTTGGCAACACTCGAACCCTCAAAGCCCATGGACGCCAGCGTCGGCAGCCGCGGCAACACCGCGCAGTGCGCCTGATCAGGTCGACTAGGTCCGGTGTGGTGAATGAGCCGATTTGGTTGCAACAAACAATTGACACAGGTCCGTTGTGTATCATGTAGTGGCTCTGTAGCACTCAGAGGTCTGATGTACCCAAAGCACGCACCACAACCTTTCAAAGGAATGCGCCTTGCCCGCGTTCATCATCACCAAACGCCTCGTTTGGAAGCCCACCAGCCCGGCACCGATGCACAAGACCACCTTGCTCGGACCAAGGTCTCAGCAGATCCCAAGGAACAAAACAAAGAACCGAAGGATTCCAACTACTGCACCAGTGATTGAATGGTGTGAGTACCGGCCACTCGGCCAGAGATTCTAGACTAGAAAGCCAAGAACTCATCAAGAAACACCTGTTCCCGGGATTCTTCAAAATATCAAAGAAATTACACCAGCATCGACCCCAAACAGCAGCGGCAGTCGGAGTTTTCTTTTTGGGGATCCATTCCTGGCACCACATCTCAGCCCAGCATCCAGACACGCCATGGGAGACAAGCGGAGACAGGGGAGACAAAGGGCCAGAACTGAGAACCCCTCACAGCAAAGCTGTTTGGGGCAAAACACAATAGCTTCGCATCAAGCACCGCCTTGTAAGGAATGATCACCAACAAGTGTCGTGTCTTTGTCAGACAATGCTGTCTTCAAAAGCGTGGGCCTTTTCAATGTGCCACGTGAGCGCACCAACACGGCAACAGGTCACACAAGACATATGTGAGCATAGCGCATGTCGTGCGCCCACATAGCCACAAGCAAGAACCAGCAAGCCTGCTCCGGAAACCACGCGGGAGCCTGCCAGGGCGCAGCAGCATGGCCCGACTTCAGCATCTCAGCGTGACAACATGTCAGCATCTTAGCGCGACCTGTCAGCATGAGAACATGTTAGCGTGACAACACACGAGTCGTGTCATCGGTTTCAGCGTGGCAACACCGCAGCGCGACAGTGTCTGCAAAGTCCTCCGAACTTACTCCAGAACTTGCTGGAAGGAACCTGACTTCGCTGGATCTTTCGTGAGAAAAATATCAATGAACTTTTGGATACTCTTGCGGAGCGGATCTGTCGCGAAGGGTTGGAAAACACCTCGATTTCTGGTCATTCTTCACGAGGCCAATCAAGGCTCCGGAGCAACAAACCTAGGGTCAGCCTTTCTTTAAGAGCGAGATTGCTCACAACACCCGGCAGGTATGGGACCAGAAAACAAGGACGGTGCTTTCTTCTTGGCACTGCTGGACACACACCTTGGTAATCTCGCGGTTGGAGTGCAACCCACAGCTGATTTTTTTCAAGCGCGATTGGTCCACACAGCTCCATCCTCAAGGGCCCTAGATGGCACTTTCCATGCATCAGGTGTGAAAATGGTGACCACCCACCTTCGAAATGTCTTCTGAACGTAGAAGTGAGGTGGTGCTATCAGGCATTTAAGAAAATGTTGGGAGTGAAGCGGAAGCAAGCCTTAGACTGTGGAGCTTGTTTCGTTTCTGATCTTCCTACTTCTAGGGGTCAGGACGGCCAGTTACAAATGACCCACCGTCCAGAATGCCGGTCAGGGGTTAAATGCAGTCTGGTAACGTTCCGTCCAAAAGAGTCTCCAAATCTGAAAACTCATCGTTCTTTCCCCCTGTGCTTCGGAACCAAGAGCCAACGGGCTTGGTGTCACAATTGCGTTGCGTGTGTGACCTGATGCCACCAGCTCTGTGGCCCTGGCCCATCGCTTCCGGGTGACATGCGTACAGATTCTCATCTCATCGCATCTGCAGCGCCAAAAACGGCCGCTGCGCCCGCCCCCATTCCGCGGTGGGCTGGCGTGGTCCGGTGTCTTTCTGCGCCGCGGGCTGCGAGTGGATCCCTCGTGGGAGAAAGAAAATAGTCCGCTCCCATGCTACTCTGATCGAATCTGAAGGCGGGCAGATGTTCGCTACTAACAAGGGCATCGCTACGAACGGAACACGTGCCTCGCTTCTAGTAACAAGTGCCTTACTAGTAGTAACAATGTTTGCTATTAGAAACACATATCATATATATCGTTGGAGCACACCAATGCTGAAAGGTCCCCCAAGCAGGGTACATGTCGTTGTTGGAGCTTTCACATGTGAGGCATGTGGGAAGGTCGTTTGGACCCTGAAGGAGGCCTTTAGAAACCTTGAACATCTCGTGCCTTGCTAAATGTTCATAGTGAAGAGACCTCCATGATGTTCCATGGACCCTGAGACGGCATATCTTCTCTGAACATTTGGAAGCCTTGGAAAACGCTCCTGGCTCTGCTAATGGTCCTCATGGTCATGGCCATGACCTAAAAGTAACACCAAGCCACGAGCTTGAGCAGGAGATCAAGTCAAAGGCTGGGCACTAGGTTGGAAAGTTCAAACCTAAAAGCCTCACGTATTGTTCCATACTTGGAGCGGAGCACACTGGCATTCATACCCTTTCTTCCCCTCATGGAACAAGTGTCAGCTGGAAGTGTAGAGGGGCCAAGTCGAAGCAAGTGGAAGTCGATACCTGCATAGAAAATGGCCCTTGCCTGGAATCGACATGCGTTTCATCAACCTGTCAATGACGTATCTGGGGATGAGGTCCTTTTTCCACTGACTTCTCAGTCATTTTTTGGTGTACCAGCCACCGAGCCGGTGGCATTTCCAGGTACGAGCCCGGGTCGACCCAGATGGTGGCAACCAGTCGTTTGGGTTGGCTCGTCATCCAGTCATCCCAGGATCAACAATGTCAACAGACTTGGGTCGCAGCCCTGGGCCAACATTCAGTTCGCCAACATTGCAGGAAAGAATTGCCCAGTTGCTGTGGAAACAGGTCCAGGTCAACTTTGACGGTTTGTCAAAAGGAATCGCCTGGAATGCTCGTTGAAGTAGCCTGCACTCACAGACTTTTACCTATGAATGGTTCAAGTAGGATGCTGGTTCCGATGGTGCATCACTACCCTGCCTGTCCAAATGGAAGTGGAACATGGTCCCGCTGGTGGCTCCATCCGCCGCTGGTCTCGCGTCCGATCAGATCCCTCGGGGAGCCCCGTGAACCGATCAGGCTCTATTTTTCGCGAGCGCCGAGTGGAGTCCTCTGTGGCGTTCACCCAAGATCTCGGCCTCCAACTGCTCCAACTGCTCCACTCCCCCACACCTCAAAGGGGCTCCTCCTCCGGCCCATCTTCGTCGAGCTCTGTGCTCCAGTTGCTCAACGGCTTGGTGTGGTCGTCGGTTTTTCAGGGCACGAGGCAGCGGCAAGGCTTACAGGCGTGCCACAGCGGTGCGGGTGTTGCCTGCACTCCTCCTCGCAACAAGCAGGACTGCAACAAAACACCTCAATGGGTGTTTAAAAAAAATTGCCACAGGGGATATCGGATAAAGCCTGCGAGTTTGCAGAGTTCGGAGTTGAGGTGGGTCCGTTTCTCTCAAATGGGTGAACCAGAGGCGCTGTTCCAAGGCTTAACTTTGACCCTGACCTCTGAAAAGTCCACAGAAGTTGCCACAAATCTTGTCCTTTAACTCATCCTGAGTTCTCAGAAACCCAGTCTTATCTCCGAGCCCATCATCTTCCCAGCACAATCAGCACAATCAGCATCGCCAGCGTCGCCGCCCACAGCGCTGGCGCGCGGCTTAGGCGGCTTAGGCCCTAGGCCCTAGGCTAGGCTAGGTACCCCCGCAGCGGTCCTCAAACTCCAAGGTGAGGTTCTGGAGCCGCTCCTGCCCCACGAGCCGGGTGGTCTTGAAGAAGATGACGTCTTCCGGATCAATGTCCTGGAACGCGTTCGTAGCGGGCCGGTTCGGGGCGGGCGTTCGGGGCTCCTGGCATCGCCGTTAGAACGGAACAAGAACGCTATGAACGGGCTCGGGGCTCCTGGCCTTACTACAGCAGGTGCGTCTCAGCAGAAAGCGTCGATGCTTTTTCAGAAACGTCTCTCTCCCAAGAGAAATGAAAAGACTCGGGGCAACGGCAGCTGATCTACAGACAAACCAGGACAAAACACTACTAACCCTGAGAGGGATCAACTGATGACTAAGCTGGTGTGAGAAGATTTGGGTTCGTTGGCCAAAAAGGCCTGAGCAGTTTCTCACTTCTCTATTTTACGATTTGCGGTTGGGTTCATGCTTGGGTTTGTCTACGACATGCACTTGATTCACTTTCAATCCACCAGAGAGTTTCAAAACGTGAATGTAAAAACAAACTCAAAACTCTCTCATCACACTGAAAAATATCCAACTCTTCAGCCTACGTTCTTTTGTTGTTTCTTTGGTCATGGTCCACATCTCATCTCCAGCCTTGGTCTTCAAGGTGATGGGATCACGATCTCTTCCAGGCGCATAGGGATCACTGCCCACGTAGTAGCACGTCCGCCTGAAGAGAAATCAAGGTCTCCGGCCCAAAATCCACACGTCGGGAAGTTCCTTTGCTTGCATCATTCGTGAAACGAATGACTGCACGACTGCAGTGGCTCAGGCGCACGTTTGTTCTCGGAGAATGGCCCTTGTGAATGAATTGGTGGACTACGCGTCGAACGGTGTGTTCAAAACATCAGGATCGACCGGGTCTTCCTACAAGGCAACTGTTTCGCCTTCACACTCCAGGTCAGGAGTGCAAGAATAGGACCAAACGTTCCGAGCCCCCTTCTCCTAAAACATTCAGAGCTCCATACCGGCCCACACCTGACGGCCACCCTGACCCAATTCAGTGGACTGAAAAGCATCACAAATGGCGGCCTGTCTGGCCCAAGCAGCTTAAGCAGGTCCAGGGTCCAACCCCCCTGTCTTTGTAGCTTTCAACTGCTTGAGATGTCTCTTAACAATGGATTGGAAAAGCCACAAACGAGTGATTCGATACCAAGGACATTGGTCATTATTTACTAATTCCATGCGATACCAAATGGGCTCTCAACATCTTTCCTTACATTCTCAGCGTCACTCATCGTGGGCAGTATCACAATGTTCCTGCAGCATCCTGCAGCAAGTGCGTAACTTCAAAATGGCCATGTTCTGCCAAATACAGGGCTGTGGCACCACCAGTGATGACAATTGTATCACCTTGGCATGGTCATTACCAGCTGCGAAGCGTACAGCTGGTGCCTTCTTTGGTGTTGGAATCTGTCTTAGTGCCCACATGTCATAAGCACTCGCACGACTTTGAACGAACTGACCATACACAGGTGCCACAGCGGCTCCAGACCCGGCTACTGGCTCGGTCTACCGAAGCTACTGGGTCGGTCGCGAAGCGAACCGGGCGGACTCCCCCACCTCACCACCGTGTTGTTGGTCACGTCCTGGTGTCGCCACATCAACTGGGTGGCCCCCAAGTTGTAGCCTGCCTGCAACACCTCGGAGCAGAGAATCGTCGGTCGTTCTCAGCGAGCCAGAGTCGCGGTGTCTGTCGCGGGGCGCACAGAAGGACGACGAAGTCCTCACGTTGGAGCTTTCGGAGTCAGATCGGATTCTGATTCTGAACATGGCCAATTCCGGAAAGCCGATCTACGTTCTCCGGAGGTTCTCAGAGCCGGTTTCTCTCTCAGTCGCCTGGAGTCGCAACCCGGAAACCATGCGTCCGCGGTTTGGCTCCCCTTGACACGAAAACCAGACCAAAACCCCATACCCTTTCACTGAAATGTCGCATGTTGCGCCGAAATGTCCACCGCGCCCCTTCTCGCCACCCAGTGGCGTTGCTGGACATGTTGAGCTCCCCGTGCGGTCCGCGCATCGCTGCGCCATGGTGTGGGATATCGCAGCTCAGAGTGGCGTTCATCAGCTCCTCATGCAGTGGGGATTCATCAGCGCATTACGACACGCCCTTTTCGGACCGGAAAAAAGGGACGTGGCGACGCTCCAAACACCTTTTTGGGGAGGGGTGTTAAGGTCAACCGTGAAAAGCAACAAGCGCTTTTGCAATAGCGGTGGCTGGTGTGAGTCCAAAACAAGTTGAAAATCAACAGTTGAACTGATACTATTGCGAATGTATGGGAAATGGACGGAAATGGTGTCCACCACTATCTGCGTGGGGATCGCCATCGATTCATCGATGGTACATCTGCCATGTTGGGAATGTGGTACCATGCCATGGATTAGGAGAGGTCTCAAACCCCGTACGTTTGGCAGCGCAGCCCAAATAGAAGAAGTCAGATCCAAAATGTGAGTTGTTCAAAGTAAAAAAAAAAAGACACTGTCTGCTTCCTTGGGTACGTCTTTCTACGGGGAGCCCGAGCAGCTCCACCCACCCTTCGAACTTCCACTTTGCCGAAAAAAACGTGGACACCACCAGCGCCGGGCGGAGCGCCCTGTGCTGCTAAACGTCGGTTCCGACGGAGTTCAGCATGAAGAACATGGATTGCACATGCAACCGCGGCCCGCAGTTCACCGAGGTGCCCACCACCGGTGTACGCGCGTTCAGCTGATCCTGCAGGCGTGAGTAGTTACTGGGTGAAAACTGGACAAAAATAGAAGGGTGGGTTCAAAGCAAGTGCTTTACTTGGTAACTATCGGGTTGAGGGTCATTTTCTCACTGATTTTGCAGTACCGATTGTGGCAAGGTGGAAGTAAAGCCCAAACTCAGGCGAAGCGATCTTCATCTTGACAGGTTTTCTTCATATCACCGCAGTATCTGCCAGAAAGCACTGAGCGCACCTCTCAAGTGACCGAAGGCACGTTGCCCACACCCTTAACGGAGCATTGAACCCTTTGACCGAGCCCGGTTTCCCGTAGTCTCTTGGTCACCCAGAAGTGTTGAAAATTGGATGCCGTCTGCGGCAACCGCGACTGAGTTGAAATTCCTCTTGACTCCTGGGTGCCGCTATTAGGCTGGAGACCTCGCTATTGGGTTGGAGGCCATCGCTATCGATTGGAGGCCATCCCTCCTACATTGAATGCCATTGCTTCGAGGCTGGAGGCCATTGCTTCTCGCTTCTAGGTTGGAGGCCATTGGAGGCCATTGCTTCTAGGTTGGAGGCCATTGCTTCTAGGTTGGAGCCAATCACTATTAGGTTGGAGGTCATCACTTCTAGGTTGGAGGCCATCGCTTCTAGGCTGGAGGCCATCACTATTGGGTTGAAGGCCATCGCTATTAGGTTGGAGGCCATCGCTTCTAGGTTGGAGGCCATTGCTTCTAGGCTGGAGGCCATTGCTTCTAGGTTGGAGGCAATCACTATTAGGTTTGAGGCCATCGCTTCTAGGTTGGAGGCCATTGGAGGCCATTGCCTCTAGGTTGGAGGCCATTGCTTCTAGGTTGGAGGCCATCGCTTCTAGGCTGTAGGCCATCGCTATTGGGTTGGAGGCCATCGCTATTAGGTTGGAGACCATCGCTTCTAGGTTGGAGGCCATTGCTTCTAGGTTGGAGGCAATCACTATTAGGTTGGAGGCCATCGCTTCTAGGCTGGAGGCCATTGCTCCTAGGCTGGAGGCCATCACTATTGGGTTGGAGGCAATCACTATTAGGTTGGAGGCCATCGCCTCTAGGTTGGAGGCCATTGGAGGCCATTGCTTCTAGGTTGGAGGTTGAAGGCCATCGCTTCTATTCTGGCGGCCATCGCTATTGGGTTGGAGCCCATCGCTATTAGGTTGGAGGCCGTCGCTTCTGGGTTGGAGGCCGTTGCTTCTAGGCTGGAGGCAACCACTATTAGGTTGGAGGCCATCGCTTCTAGGTTGGAGGCCATCGCTTCTATGTTGGAGGCCATTGGAGGCCATTGCTTCTAGGTTGGAGGACATTGCTTCTAGGTTGGAGGCAATCACTATTAGGTTGGAGGCCACCGCTTCTAGGTTGAGGCCATTGCTTCTAGGTTGGAGGCAATCACTATTTGGTTGGAGGCCATCGCTTCTCGGTTGGAGGCCATTGCTTCTAGGTTGGAGGCCATCGCTTCTACTAGGTTGGAGTCCATTGGTTTTAGGTTTGGGGGTCCTTTCAAACTTCTGAAAGCAGCTCCAAGGGGCCCGACCTTGAAGGGCTTGAGAAAATCGCTTGAGTGGCTGAAGGGCCCGCGGACGGAGCCGTTCATGAGCACCACATACTTGTAAAGCCCAGGAGGAACGATGGCCAAACCTCCAAGAACAGGAACCAAGAGAGTTCTGAGGGTCTGCATGGGTGTTGAAGGGTTCTGTCTTGTGCCCCTTCTCAGTGCAAAAAAGAACCTTCTTTGTCCATCTCTACTTCCTTGCCCGAATGTGGAAAAGGGAGTTCTCCCCCCAGCCCCAGGCCCCCTTAGTTGGAGCGTTCTGCAGGCGTACCAAGGTCGCACGCTGCTCTTGCATTGAGTCGTTGATCGTTCGTTGCTTCGCGCGACTTGGTCGAACGAAGCGGTTTTTAACTGGTTGTTTGATGTTTTTGGGGAAGGCCATTGCGAGGTTCCTTATTGCAAGATGCACCAATGTAAGGCAACCTGTGGAATGAAATGACATCATGGGTCCATACTCCGGCTCGATTCGGATTTCGATCAAATCCTGCAAAATAGATGTCGGATTTCGGCAGACTTCATGACCGCTTCATGACTTCGGTATGACGTCCAAAAAGCACACATCGAGCGTGCCTCGGTGCCTCGTATCGGAACGACACCAGGGTTCTGGCCTTCTACATCAGGTGCGAAGACCACATGGTCTTTTGTGGGGCTTCTGATCTTTCCAGCACACCAAGTGCCTCCAGCACAAGCCCCCCCCTCCTCCCTCTGGATCGAACTCGCTCCACCTGTCTTGTAGGAGCAGATGTCCAATCCCACGCGTGGTCGGTGCACGTAGTGCACATTCGGCAAGTCGGGAAAACAACGGAAGGGGCCCTCTCTGGACGTGTCCACAAAGATAAAATCCATCCTCGGATTCGGTGGAAAAACCATCATGGAACTTCGCAAAAGAAAGGATAAAATAAGGTAGCAAGAAGCTACTAGTGGCTCTTGGCATTACTAGCATTACTACTAGTAACAAGAAGCTACCAGGGTGGAGGCCATCGCTATTAGGTTTCAGAACACTTGGAAACTGTCGCCCCGCAACTGTTCGTTCTGAGAGAGGATCTTGTCGCGGGTCCCATCTGTCCCATCTGTCCGACTGCGCTCGGATCATGGCGTTGTTCTGAGGAAACCAGGCGAATTCCAGGTGAAACGCGGCAGGAGGATTGCATGTCTTGGCTTTTGATGCGACACCAAGGCCACGGATTGAGGATTGAGGTCATGGCATCCACAGCAAAGTGTCATATTTATTGTGGAGCTCTCCTTTCCGTTTCTGCCTCGAAATCGGGCGGAGTGGGTTGCATTATGTTCCGGGTTGAGGAGCCTGGAGCTCCTCACCTCAACCCAAACCAAGCTGCTCCTGCGCTCTCGGCCCACCGACCACCTGCTGCAACAAAAACTCCACATTCTTCGTACTCCTCCGACCAGACACGACCGAGGTCCCGGGTGGATGTCGGCGAACGCAACCCCCGTGGTCATCCATGAGCCTTTGGAAGAAACTGGGCATCCGTTTGGGCCCTTCGTTTTGGGATCTGTTTGTTTGGGAAAGAAACGGGAAGAGAACCAAACAGGCTACCGGCCATGCCAAATTGGCTGCAAGAAGCGGCAAGCTTGAATAAACCTCTCACTACGAGCTCAGAACCCGCCCTGTCCCGATCGGCCTTTTGGTTCACTTCCGATCACCCAACAAACCACTGCAGGACGCTGATATGTCCGAGCGAAGAAGACTGACGTCCCAGCCCCATCACATCGGTGGAAGAGTCAATCCATGTCAATCATTGTCAAAGCGAGTCAATCCTCCAACGCCTGGTATCAAGCGAATCAGCTGGAAGCACAGAATCAGCCGAAGTCAGGACGGTTTCTGGGGTTTCAAGTTGATGAGCCAACGTGGCGTGTTCTTTTCAGAGGCAACAAGCAGTTTTTCAGTACCCTGCTTGCACATGGGGGACTTCACGAACACGAATACTCAAAGCCACCAATGGATGCTACTCTTGATGTCCCTCGTTCATCCACCCAAGACGCAAGACAGCAAACTTCTCCATGCCCACCGATGGTCATCTCTTCACCAATCTGGCCAATCACCACTTCAGGCTCCCAAATCCGAAAGGAAAACCACACCAAACCCAAAGCATACCCCATCTCACCCTATCTTTCCACCCCAAGGTGGTCGCTCCTGGGGCTTCGCTCGAATGCGACGATCACCAGCGTCCGCCCGTTGTTCTCCGCCGGCGCGCGCGCCGCGGGAAGCGCGGCGAAGGGCGGCGTCAGCAGCTCCTCCGCGGGTGGCACACGAGCAAGGCGGATCTGCTCGAAGGCCTCCACAGGACGGACATTGCAACGAAGCTGTTCAGATCTGAAGTTATTAAAGGCATGATCCTCATTGATCATCTATCTGTAAACACCGTCCAATTGGACACGGTTAGAAAAACTGTGTCCGACGTCCGTTCATATTAGGAAAGATTCTTCACCTTTGAAGCCATCGCAGTTGGAGAGAGATCTTCATGGGCTCCGGGCTAGCAACCCTCTCTCTACCGGCGCCTCATTCACCTTCACCTCCGGCGGAACGGTCAGCTCGGTCGGCTCGGTCGGCCGCTCCGCGGTGGGCCGCTCCAGTCGGAGGCGCAGCGTCGGACTGGGCGCGCTCCAGTCGGCCGACCTGGCAGCTGGACGGTCGCGACGCGGCTCCGCTCCGGTGGCTCCGGTCCCAGTCGGGTCCCGGCTCCGGTGGTGGTTTGGGGAAGAACCAGCCCTCTGAAGCACCAGGGGTTTTCAAACGCAACGCGAATTCGGCGGAGGGAAGGGAGGATTTGGCCATTTTCACTGTACATCCGCCCACCTCCAAAAAAAAAGCACCAAGCAGGCAGCCGCCGTGTAGAGCCACCGCTTTTGGACCATTCCATGGGTCTTGACCCCGGGCGAACGAATGACCCGCAGCGAGTGAAGGAGCGATGAGCGATGCGATTCCGGGCGAGCGGTCGTACTGATCGGTGCACGGAGAAACATGATGGTCTCTGGCTAGGGACACCTCACATCTTCTTGCAAAGCCATCTTGCCGCACTTGTCCTGCGATGAAAGCGGAACTTGAATGGAAGCCCGCAGACTTCAGGGCTGCAGACTTCGGACCAATCGCCTATTTTGCCCAGCAGAGTGTACACTGTGAGCCGGCAAATGCATGATCCGGAACATGCATGATCCAAACCTCAAGATTCAACTGATTCAACCTCTGCACTCCAAACCATTCCCTCATGCTGCGTGGCCAATCTTTTTCTGTTCCAAAATGCTGCTGAAACAGAGCTTTTCTTCCATTGAAAAGCTTTCAATTTTTGGTCCCGACTGAGATCCAACCGGCCTGACTGAGCCCTCAGAGCCTCGAGCCCTGCAGGATTGAGCCGACCTCGTGCCTCTTGGACCACTTTGGGTCTTCGCACACCAGACCTTCGGCCGTCTTTGGACCGGCATCCGGCTTTCGACACCACTCCGGCTACAGTTCTCCCAAGAGGGACTGTCCAACCAAGGCATCTGTGGAAATTGGGCGTGAAAATCGTCATTGGGTGGTTCATGGCTTGAGGCCAGCATTCTGCAGAGCTGTCGTAATGAAGCCGCTCAGTATCATCTTTCCTGCCCTACTGGGACAGTGCACGATGAAATCGCCATCCCCCTTTCCATGCTGGCCTCAGCAGAAACTGGTGATTCCATGGCTGGTCAAATCAATCTCATCGGCGAAACTGTGAGCAAAACCCAAGCAAGGAACCTGTTGAACATGTTCTTCCTCAAGATGCTGTTTGGGTCCAAGTCCAACTTGCATCAACTGCCAAGCACACACACAAAATATACCATATGCAGGACATTGAAAATGTTCATTCATGTGCACATGCACGAGAGTGCAGGAATCTATTTGGTTTCTGCTATGTTTCACAATTTCACCATCGAATGGTCCCCAATCTTCGTCGAAGCGCCTCCATAGAGGCCCTTGGGATAGGCATTGATGGTCCGCTTTGGAACCCACTTGATGTGTGGCAGCAAGCTCTTGTTCACCACCTGAGCAAGGACCGGTTGAGCGAGGACCTGGCAAGACTTGTGAAAAATAGGTTGGTTTCGCGGTTTTGCCAGAAGACTTTTCTTCTGAGATCCCAATGTTCATTCCAATGACAGAAGCCTAAACATCCGTATTCTGTCCTTTTGATAATTCCTACCTTGTGGGGTTGGTGAGTTCTTTTTCGACCCACTGGCTGGGCCGTCAAAACGTGCAGGTCGAGGTAGACAAACCTCTGCAACATGCACCCTGACAAAAATCAACACCATCAGTTCTGTAGCAAGAAACTTCCCCAGGTATCCTTCCCACTTATATGTATATATATATATTGTGGTTTTGACCTTCCCTGTGTTCAACCAGTGCCAGTGGGGTAGCCGGTCTTGCACTTCAAGACCAGGACCACCGACCCCTTCGTTCAAGTCCAGCCACCAACTCCCGAATCCGCGGATCGTTTCCAGGAAAAACGACTTCTTGTGCAAAGGTTTTGTTCCGCCAACCCTCATCCATGTGGTTGTAGCAGCTTCTCTTTTGAGTCTTGTTATCCAGCGGCTGACATCCTCCCAGAATCACATTGATGGATCCAGTCTCCTCCAGCGGAACACTGCCAATGTGCCACATATCTTGCAAGAGGTCTCGGCTGAAGCGGGAGAACTTCCAGAGACTCTGTGCCAAATTGACCGCCAAGGTGTCACCGGCGACCACCACATCAGTGTCCTGCATTCCATTCCAGTGAATCAAACTCTCAAGAGAAAAGGACATGTTGTTGATCACTGTATCTGAGTCCATCCAAAAGATGTAGTCACAGCCAGTGGTGCCACTGTCAATCAAATATATGGTGGACTTGATTTTGTACCAAAGCGGGCTTCTGCCAGTCGATGCTCGATCCCTTTCGTCGATAAACGTATAGAGATCGTAGCCATGGCGCCGAGCATATTCCACTTGCAGTCTTAAAACATCCTGCAGACTCTTCTTGCTCACACTCGGGATCATCAGGCACTGCATACACATATGTGGAGAAGCCCCAGGCTTGGCAAACCTGCAAAAATGTCAAAACAAAGAAAATCCTTCAAGCAAGCTCTACAACTTCAACTTTGCTATCCCACAATGTTTACTGGAGCAAGACCCCGACATTCACACGATTCTAGCGACCCTTGAGTGCCCGGGGGTTGACTGTTCTCCTCTACATCAGTGCTTTCAGGCAAAAATGCACTTCTCATCATTTCTCTGCGTGGTATTTATAGGTGGCCAAGCGAAAAGTAAACCCGGTGATCCAAGCAGACCGTATGAAGCGATCGCAATATGTTCTAGCAAGAAGAAAACGATCTGTGCCAGAATTCGCATGGCCCTTATTGGGTGACGGAGTAAAAGGATCTTGTACTTCATGAGGTGCTGTACCTATACCCAAAGAGTTGACAGCGGGATGTTCAGCCCAGTCCGGCTCTTTAGCATTGAGCTTCCCGAGCTTTGACTCATCTAAGCCTGTCATATGACAACTTCCTGATTCTTCCTAAGCTCTGGCTCCATCCGAGCTAATATTACAACTCGCGCCCGCAACCCATCTCAACGTATCTCCCTACCGCCCACCATCCACCTGCCTGTGCACCACCCAAGGGATGCTGGTCAGCGTCGCGTTCGGGATCACCGTGGGGTCCCTGCGCCCCGCGGCGCCCGGATCCTCGGGCGGCGGGTCCAGACCGAACTGCACCAGTTTCGCGTCCAAGAAGCGCCTGGCGCACCCGGCGCTTCTGAGGATCTGGTTTTCAGACCCCTTCGTATGCGAGGGAAGTGGACCCGATCTGCATTTGGCACCCGCGGCACCCTCGGACCCGCGCCTGATGGCTTTGCTTCCCCAAATGCCAGGGCAGTGAACCAAGAAGTCCGGATCGTCCCACTCGTGCTCTCCTTTGGGGAAGCCCACGGTGGCTGGATGCGCCAAAAGTAGCCTCTTCGGAGTCCACTTCACATGTGTCAAGAGGCTCTTATTCGAAAGCTCCTTGGCAATCTCCACCGTGTCACCTGAACCAGGCGCGCGCAGGGAAGCGTTGTGGGTTTCGTCGCGAAAGACGGATGGTCCCCTCCTTTTTCGGCAGAGACCATACATAGTCCACACTTTCCTCTATCTTTGCGAATGGCCACACTCCATATCCATCTTTTTTTAGACAAGAAGTATCTGCCCCGCCGCTAGCGTTGGGATATCCCAAGATCTTCAGCCACACTCTGCATCCCAGTGTCTCTTAAGAACTTGATGCCTCACCCTCACCCTCACACCTCACTCACTAAGCCCGAGCATCGCCAGTGACACAGTTAGGTCCGCTGAAAAAGCCTACACGTCTGGTTCCAAACATGACACCCGTTACAGGAGAGAATCCACCGTCAATCAAACATATGAACATCATATAATTTTCTCCTCCAACTTCCTGACCCTTTTTCTCTCTCAAATTGGCTTTTCTGTTTTGCGAGCCATCATCTTTCCCCCACCTCTCAGAATCAGGTCTTCTGAAATCTGCAACTTCCGACATGTTTGCTTCTCGGCGTAGCTGTTCTGCTTCCCACAACCACCCAGCATGGCGTTCATCGCGCCGCTCAAGGCATCGCCATTGGAGTCAACCACCGGACCGAAGTCTTCCTTAGAGAACAGGGAACTTCGGAAAAGAAACCCGTCGCCCCCTCGGATTTGCTCTCCAGCCCTGGAAGCCGCGGCAGCACTGTGGCAGCGCTGGTTGGTGGTTGCTGCTTCTGCTGCTGTTGCAGCAGGAGGGTTGTAGTGATCGGAATCATGATTCAGAAAACAAATAGAATATAGACATGACATGACAAGCACAACCTTTACTGGCACAAGTAGCAAGTAGTGAAACTTCCTAGTGATGATGAAAAGCCTGTGTTTTGATGCTGGAACGGGGACTCCACTGCTTGGAAATTCCGAGTGGGCTCCCCAAGCATCCTCCTTCCCAAACGCAGAGGTCTTAAAAAAAGAATAAAAACAGAAAAAGCAAAAAGAAGATTCAAGAAACACAAATTGGGCAGGTCTGTCACAGATTCTGTCTAAACCTCTCAAAAATGACCTCCTAATTGCTGCACATCGGTCGGAGGACGTCCGAGCATCGAGGTCCTTGAAGAGCTGCAGATTAAAATCACTGACCTTCCAAAGCACCGCGCCAAAGTTCACAGCCTCCTGGAAAAAGAAAACGGCTAAAGCCAGCAAGGTAAGTCACCAGGAAGGTCAGTGAGCTGATGGTATGTTTTAGGCGCTGACAGGGGAAGAATTTCAGGAGAACATCTTCGGAAGAGCATCAAGAAACTCGTTGGCCCAGGGACACTGAATCCACTATTCTGGGGCTTTCCTTTAAGCTTCTTGACGATAGCATCGAGGAGTTTCTCGCAGGTTTCAGCTTCGATGCTCCGTCGCCCTTGGAATTTGCCCGCCCATGGTTGTCACGGTCGGGCTTTTTGGAGGAGCGAAAACGGTGTGTGGCTTGTGGCTGATGTGGAGGGTTCTTATTATTGTTTCAAGAAGATCCTGCACCACCTATATACTACACACAGCATGCTAGATCTCTCCCTTCATTACCGGGACCGAGTCAGTTGTTCACGAAGTCAATTGACCTAGTTTGTCAGCAGGCTTAGTTCCTGGCAGCAGGTTCCATCCATTTTGACTGGCTTGTTTGTAGAACAAGGAAGTGGTGCCAGGTCCAAAATCACAGAAAGTACTGATAGTTCAGTGCGCCAAGCGCGCCAGAACACACGAGTAGATTAGATTCATGAATGATCGCCAGCTGAATCTGATCGATTCCATCCTTCTCGGTACCCACCACGACCAGGTCTGTATCAGGCAAGCCTTTCCAGTTGATCAGACCTGCGAGATTGGTCGGATCCCTGCCCGGCGCCGGGTTTCACCGTTGTCGCGGTCCATCGAGGCTCATCTCCAGAGTGGAACACCTAAACCGGTCACCCGAAATTTTTCCAAAAGCACTGAGCTGTCCGTTGTCTTTCTTTGGGGGGCCTGTCCGTTGACCCGTCCGTTGACCTGTCGACCCGGGAACCGCGCGGTGGAAGCCACGCTGGATCCGTGGCGCGCAGAGCGCGCGTTGGCGCCAACTCAGACACCGGACCCGCAGCACCAAAGGACCGATCAATGCATCACTTACACTACCTCACCCTGAGTGTTTTTGGGATACAGGAATTTGTAGAGTACTACGAGGATCTTTAAAAACGTGTTTCATGATCTGCATCATTGATCTGGGAATCATCAACACGGTCATTCCATGAAGACAGTGCAGAAAGCAGGCTTTTTGAAATCCTAACATCTAAAAATCCAGTGATACAGCGGAACCTGGAGTTTCTGATAATTGGCTGGTCAAGGTCATTAGGCATCCCTGATCCGGTTCACAGGGATCCATTCGATCGGTTGCGGAGAAAGATCTGATCAATTCCTCATCGGATCTCACGGACTTCGACCGGACATGGCTGCTATTGCCATGTCTCTTCTTTCAAGTCCTCGATTTCCCTTGAACAAACTCGTGGGAAAAAAAGAAGAAAAGCACCGAACCAAACAACACGATCCAGAACTTCACCGACCTTCCAGAACTTCACCGACCTTCCAGAACTTCACCGACCTTCCAGGCGGAAGTTCATGTCCAGAATCACCGCGTTCTTTTCGACCCAGAAGATGTAGTCGCATCCGGTGCCGCCGCTCATGAGCAGCTGGCTGGAGCGAGCCGGGTTTAAGGTGCGATGCGTCTTCTCGTTCACAATGGTGTAAAGGTCGTAGCCGTGACGACGAGCATACTCCACCTGCAACCTCCAAGCATCAAAGCGCAAGGATTGCGCGAGAATGAAGTGAAGAAAAATGCATCGTAGCAAGGGAACCAGGGACAGGTCCTGGAAATGAAAACCCTGCAAGGATCCTTTATGGGATGATCGCAGCAAGTGACTTGTACATCTTTGCAGTTGATTATTGTATGTCTTCAAACCGGTCCTGTTTCAGGCGCTTGTGCATCAGACACCAGACCGACCACTGTCTGGTACCCAACGCAGAGTCGGATAACAAAGTTTCGGCTGCAATTTGCAAGTATGTGTGTACGTATGTAGATCATGTATGTGAGTGTGTATATCTATATATATATAGATACATACATATTATGTGTATATATATATACTAGGTACGGGTGACTTTAGCAAATCCACAAAGCCTAGTATCTACACGTTTCTTTCCCGAAACCACTTGCCTCCAATCCTAAAGACTCTTTGTCAACAAAGTACGGCAATCAACCTTGAAAGAGCATACCAAATTGTTGGCAAAACCCAATATCAACCCACTCCTTGGGATGAGCCAAGAGTGGTCAGGAGTATGGCTTCTAAGTAGCTTGCTGTTTATGTCTGGGCTCAACAATGTCTAAGCATTTCTCTCCCACGTGTCTCTCCCGAATTGAGCGACCCAAAACCCCTGTGCCAAGCCTCATGACGTCAAAGAGATCCTTTTCCGCGAAGCCTTTCTCCATGAGGCACTGCAAGCAGATGTGCGGCTTCGACGATGGCGCCGCAAAGCGGTGGATCACCCAGGGTGTACTGCTCAGCGTGGCGTTGGGAATCGAGGAGGGGTCTTTCCGTCCGAGAGCGCCGAGATCAATCTGCAGCCCCGCAGCCTGAAGACCCATGTCCATATATTCACGCAAGACCATCTTCCCTTTGCGGCTCGGACAGTGTACAATGAAATCGCTGTCTCCCAGCTGGTACTGGCCAAAGTAGACTCCGTAGGGATAAGAATTCATGGTGCGCTTTGGAACCCACTTCATGTGGGGCAGTAAGCTCTTATTCACAACCACTTCTGCAATCATCGTGTTGTTGGCCGGAAAGTATACTTGCTGTGCAAACTTGAGGTTAAACCAGCGGTCCATCTTGTCGTAACAGGCATTCTTGCGTTTTTGTGGATCATTCGGCTGACACCCACCCAGAATAACATTGATAGATCCTGTTTCCTCCAAATGTACTTTTGCTCCGTTGCCGATGTTCCACATGTCTTCCAATAAGTCGCGACTGAACCCGGAGAACTTCCAGAGACTCTGTGCCAAGTTCACGGCCAACGTGTCCCCAGATACAACGACATCAGTGTCCTGCATGCCATTCCAGTGAATAAGACTCTCAAGAGAAAAGGACATGTTCATAATGACCGCATCAGAGTCCATCCAAAAGATGTAGTCACAGCCAGTGGTACCGCTATCGATCAAATACTGAGTCGACCGAATTTTGTACCAAAGAGGGCTTCTGCCAGTCTTTAGCATATCTATATCATCCACATAAGTGTAGAGGTCGTAGCCGTGGCGCCGAGCATATTCTACCTGCAACCTCAAAGCATCCTTCAGAATCTGCTTCGTCACTCCTGGAATCATCAAGCACTGCAGACACATGTGGGGCGCAGCCTGTGGCTTAGCAAAGCGATGCACCACCCAGGGCAAGGTGCTCAACGTGGCGTTGGGGATTGTTCTGGGGTCTTTCTTACCACGCACTCGAGGGCTTGCCAGTTCGTCCTTCCCTTGGTCCTTCGGCTTCTGCTCCACATCGGGCCCCTCATCAACTGCATCCGTGCCACCCGGAAGAAGCTCAAGAGCTTCTTCCAGCCCTGCAGACTGCAAAGCGCTGGAGACAAAACTGGACAACATCTGCTGGCCTTTTACACTGGGACAGTTGACGAGGAAGTCGCCATCGCCCAACTTAAAACGACCTCCAAGTAAGCCATAGGGATAGGCATTGATCGTGCGTTTAGGCACCCACTTCATATGAGCCAACATGCTCTTATTCACCACCAGCTCTGCGATCCTATGGTTGTCACCAGGATAGACCACATCTCGGGCAAAGTCGCGGTTCTGCTGGCCTTTGCCCATGGTGTTGTAGCATGTCACTTTCTGATCCTGTGAGTCCTTCGGCTGGCATCCACCAAGAATCACATTGATGGATCCCGTTTCATTCAACTTGACATCGCCGATGTTCCACATGTCTTCCAATAAGTCGCGACTGAACCCGGAGAACTTCCAGAGACTCTGTGCCAAGTTCACGGCCAACGTGTCCCCAGATACAACGACATCAGTGTCCTGCATGCCATTCCAGTGAATAAGACTCTCAAGAGAAAAGGACATGTTCATAATGACCGCAGCTGAGTCCATCCAAAAGATGTAGTCGCAGCCAGTAGTACCGCTATCGATCAAATACTGAGTCGACCGAATTTTGTACCAAAGAGGGCTTCTGCCAGTCTTTAGCATATCTGTATCATCCACATAAGTGTAGAGGTCGTAGCTGTGGCGCCGAGCATATTCTACCTGCAACCTCAAAGCATCCTTCAGAATCTGCTTCGTCACTCCTGGAATCATCAAGCACTGCAGACACATGTGGGGCGCAGCCTGTGGCTTAGCAAAGCGATGCACCACCCAGGGCAAGGTGCTCAACGTGGCGTTGGGGATCCGCCGTGGGTCTTCTCGCGCCCGGGCCGCAGCCACCTGCGGCGACTGCTGGAAGGTCTCGCTGGAGATTTGCTCGGCTGGGTCCAGCGGGAAGGTCTCGCTGGGCGAACTCGGAGTGGAATCACTTCGTTCGAAAAGCTGCGCCCAATCATGGATCCTGGAAGGTGAAGCCACACGAAAAAAAGACTGGGAGGCAGCGAAGAACGGCAGCTACCCAAGATTGCAAAAAGAACTTGAGGAACTCTGGCAAGTTTTGTTTCCTGGGGTGATACCAAAAGAGTGAGAAACAAGGCCTTGTTTCCTTCACACCGCCCTTGAAAGAATACAAAAGAAAAGAAGGAATCCTTGCCCACAGGTCTTGGTCAAAAGCCAGTGAAAGGAGCAGCAATACTGCAAGCAGGCTGCAGCAAAGCAGCCACGAGACGCGCCTGCAGATTGCAGGGATTTGCATTGTCTTGCAAGGGCAATGCTGGAGTATCCTGCCCTCGCCCGGCCAACTTGGGGTGAAAAAGGTTGCATGTTCATCAACCCTGGTTTTAAACGTCTGGTCATTGACCTACTTCCACATCGCAAAATGGACATCCTTCTCTATGTCTTGTAGAGACAAGAATTCTGTACCCATGCCTCCGGCAACAGGCATCATTCCCGTCCCTCTCTGAATAGCCATTGCCCAGGAGATTCTTGTTCTCCACAGACTCTTGGGACGCGAGCACCTCCTGCGCAAGGTCCCGCGCAGCACACCGTCGGCGTGAAAACCACCCGTCGGACGGTGGTCCCGCTCCGTCCTCTGCGTGACCCTCTTCCACTCCCAAGACGGTGGGTGCCGCCATGGCGAGAGACCACTGCCGCCGAGCAAACGGGACTCCAAAGACACTGAATGAATATGAATAGGCTTTGTATCAAGTCCATCACTGAATAGGAATCTGTCCAACTCAACAAGCATGTTTCGCCTGCAAAGTTCATCAAAAAAACATTATACATACTGTATACATATATATATATATATGTTATATAGATATAGATATCTATAGACTACAGATGTTTTTCTCGAACTCAGCTTTGGCCACATCAAATGGTTGGCATTGTTATGAAACAGCATCCATCCGCAACAACACTTCAACGGTCACAACAAATTGTACCAAACCATAACAGGTCAACCTCACTCGTTGTGAACCAGGTGTGCAACCCTATGGTTCCCAAAGTTTTCAAGAATGTCTACAAAACAAATCCATTGTTTTTTTCCTGCGTCTTTTGATTCTCCAACTGTCTCTCCCTCTGACTTCAATCAGAGCCAAAACCATTCGGCTCGGTGTAGGTGTCTTGCAACTCAACCACCGACTAAGTCAAAATTTTGCCTGTTGCAAAAACATTACTGAACTGGACTAACAGAACCAAGTCGACCATGTCTCCAGTCATCGGCGGTTGTCCAGGACTTGCTGTAGACCGTCCCAATTGGTTGTTCCATCCAAATGACAAGTCTCGGCACGAAATCAAATGCAACACAGCGACCAAAACATCCCGAGTCAAGTGACTGCAAGACAGGACTCCAATGTGGTTGTTTGTGGCCACCACACTCCGGAGAATGGTTGGTGGGTCGGGCTTGGGTGTGTTGATTGTCCGGTTGGACAAAAGAGATAAAATTTGAGAATTCTGACTCAACATGTCACCGCTTGACGGTCTTTCCGAAACAAGTTGCGGTCTGTTGCACCAAGCCATGGTTGATGAAACCGCAAACAAACGGCGTGGAACACATAATAGACGTCAACACAGCTCAGTCACGCCGCCCTTTAAAAGTGTTTTGCTGTGCACAGGGCGCTTTTCCTTGGAATGTGTTTGTTTCAACACTGGCTCGTCCACAATGGTTCCCATGCGCTGACCCTTGTGGGATCGCCTCCAGCCTCCACTGCGCCTGATGTCAGGAACCACAGCTTTTTGCCCACGGACCTCAAGGAAGGCTGTAGAAGGCTTACTCAAGCTAGGAACGCTCAAAACTGGGAAGTGGAAGCTGGGAGGTGGGAGAGAGTGACAGGGAGCAGTAATTAACAGGTTTTTGATGGCTTTCCAATGTTTTCAACAAAATTTTGAAAGAATTGATTTGTTTTGCATTTTCTGCCTCAATTTCTGATCTAAAAACTTGTTCCAGACAAAACCTCCACAGCTCCTTCAACTGAAGAGTTTGGCGTGGAACTTTCCACCAGAAGAACCAGAAAAAAGAACCATCGAAGTCCACCCAAAACACTGCTGGAGAGTTGAATTGCCAGTTTTTTTTTTGCACGAGTGAAGACGCCATGTGTGCAGAGGTTGCACAGGTCTGGAGAGTTGAATTGCCAGAACACACCTCAACATTCTCCAATGACCTTCAAAACAAACATATCAAAAGTTGTCAAAAAAGAACCATATTTCAAGAAAACTACCAAAAATAGAATCAAAAAAGTTACTTTTTGGTCAAAACTTTGACATCTCAGACTTCTTCTTAGACGGTTGATCTTTCAGTGAGAGATCCCTTGCGGAGGCATTTTGGCCTGAAAGTCAGCGAGACATGCGTTATGGGCTCAGCATGGACCAACCACACATCAATTCGTTCTTAAATGGGAGACGGGCTGAATGCAGGCCGGCTTTGCGCTCGCCTGGATGACCTCCACGGCCAAAAAACCTTGTCATCCACTCCAACGCCGGTTTGTCGAATGAACCTGCCCACCAAATGCAGTGGACAGACAATGAAAACAATCAAATTTTTGGCCTGAAAGACTTCAAATCACCCTCAATCTTGGCAACAAGAAAATGCCAAACGGACAAAATCCTGACAGGACAAAAACAGCCTGCACGAGAGAAGACGCTCGTGTGACGGTCAGGTCCTTGCACAGTTTTCCCTCAGTGGAGGTCCCGAGTCAGGACCGATGCATGGATGAAACTGCGTCAATCAAAAGAAGTGGACGTCCGACAACACCGGCGCCAGAGCAGGGCGGATCTGATTGAGCTTGGGTCAGGGAGGAAAGGAAGGAACAGTCATCCAACTGAAACTTGCCAAGGCGCTGCAAGAAAGCCTTGTTGGTTGGAAGCGTGCGCGGCAGGCTGAGAGCGTCCATGTGGGACGCTTTGTGAGAGCAGAACGTCAGGTGAGTTTGCCAACTTACGGCGTTCTGAACTTCCCTTGCCAACCCGAGCACACCTGCAGAGAGCGAAGCAGGACTGTCTCAGCTTCTGCTCACCATTGCAAGCAATTAAGTAATTGTATCAACCAACATTGCTCAGTTCGACATCTTTGAAGACTTCGAAGAGCATATAGTTGACTACCTGGCCCGCTGTTTCAGACTTGGATGTCTTTGGTAGTGAGCGAGACTTCATCCATCCTACCACTCAGGAATGTTTGCAGGACCGGGTTTGGGACGCCTTGCAAGAAAATAAGCATTTCACTCTTGTAGTTCGAGAGTGCGTCGAAACGTTCCAATCCAAAGAGGAGATCGAAGATTGTGCTTATCGAAATTATCCGAAAGCAGTCAAGGTCCTATCAGTGAAACGGGGATCATCCCCCCTAGTGCTTTTCCTTGCAGTCCCACGTCTTCGTCATGTCATAGTGGAAGAAGACATACACACCGTAGGAGCACTAGCCTGGCAAAATTGTCGGCAACTTCGCATTGTGAAGCTGCCAAACACTGTAGTACGAATCGACGAAAGTGCCTTTCGAGGGTGCCATTGGCTAAACAGCATAACTGCAGTAGGCTGCACGGACTTCGGTTATAAGGCTTTTGCTGACTGTTGTTCGCTACGGCAGATTCATGCCAAAGGAGGAGTCAACACCTTCGGTGGTGCGACTTAGCTGCCGTGACCATACTGCCAGCCGGTGACGAGCCGCAGTCATTGGCATCGGTCCAGAGTCAAGAGCTCCCAACGGAATGTTTTTGTTCCACAGGATTGAGTGACCTCAAGTTACCACCTAGCTTCTATAGATTGGGAGCCCATGCCTGTGACAACTGCAAATTCCTTTCTCAAGTTGACATATCAGAAACGACTGTAACAGAGATCAAAGAGTTTACATTTGCACATTGTGTGTTGCTCCAGAGTGTCCTGCTCCCATATACGACACACTATACATTCGAAAGCGTTTATGAACTGTGCTGCCTTGCAAGAGTTAGCCATCCCGCCATCGCTTCATTGCATTGCCTGTAAAGCCTTCCTTGATTGTACAGTCCTTGCCAGGCCAACGAACCACATGGAGAGGGACCTATGCAGAAGAAACCGCCTTCGCAGTTTGTCCTGGATGGCGTAAGCCACAATGACCAAGCACCCATGTACACACAACAACATGGTGTGTTCGGAGAGTGACTATATCCCCTCTGCAGCCGGCTCAAACCAGCTGTGATAGATTTCGGAAAGTTGGTCGTTTGTTGCAGCCACGATGCCCCTTTGACACCCATATGGACATAGACATGTCCCTGTCGTGCAATGAGAACAACGAGTTTGCTGGCAACAGCTCTTATAGCCTCCACCTTATCACTATGGCAAGAACCGCCATTCAAATTGTAGTGCCTGTGAGCATACACCATAATTGGGACATGCTTGAGGAATACTTAGTGGAAAACCTGCCTGCTGTCAGTAGCTTGGACACTTTTGGGTGCGAGGTCACCTTGCTGGACGTGGACACACACCAGGCATTGTGCGACCCAATCCAAGAAGCCCTATGGGGTAACACTCAGTTCCCCTGCTTTTTCCACGAGTACGGACGCCATGTGGGCGGTGTGCCCAGGTCATCATAGGAAGGATGGAAACTCTGCATATTGGTAAGGGATCAGACCGCAAAACGAAAAACCAACCACACAAACAAACCAAAACACCCACAAACAAACCCCAAAAAACACCAGCACCAAAGGACCCCAACAACCAATGTGGGCAGAGTTTCGTCTGTACTAAGGTGAAACGTGTGAACCATAAGAGAGCGTCGTACTAACTATCTGGGCCCGAATCCTCAACGTCGGCAGTATGCTGTATCAGGACATAGGCTGTTGTCCTTGAAGGCCAGTCAACGGTGGCCTTCGTGCGCAGACAAGGGGAAAGAGTCACCCTTGTCATGTTCGGTTGCAGGCACTTCAGTCTTGTGCGAGGACTAGCAGAGCAGCTGGTGCAAAAATTACGCAGCACATTAGGTCAAAGATGATCGTTAAGGTCATCAGGTTGCAATGCTTTGCAGGCCTTGGAAAACAGCCATTCTATGGCACAATCACTACAAATGACTGCACGAACAAAGGAGGCTGTGGCCAGACTTGGACTCAAAGGTGATGGACATCGCAACGAACGTGCGGCGGCAGGCAACCGACTGACCTCCCTCAAGCAGGGGGAGGCATCACACGCCCGCCCAAACGGCTTCCGGGCAGTAAGCGGGAAGAGCCTGGGGGGCATGCACATAGCAAAATATGATGGATAGCTCGGTCATCAAAGGTCACTACCCACGTACATGCATGGCCCTGGTGAAACGGGTGAAACCAAACTATATCCTAGCATGGTCCTTGTGCCATCTTTGTACAAGATTGGCTGAGTGCTGTCTCCCACAGACAAAGAACTGAGGTTCTCACCTGGGTGCCGCGCGCCAATCTCCGGCCAAGAGCTGAGGCTCACAGCCAGGTCGGCTCACTAAACAGCAAGGTGTGGAGACGAACTTGGCGAGCAGCTGATCCAGCTTGCCTGGACAGCAGTGGCAGGTGAGACCTTTGTTTAACCGCCGTAGTGTAGGTCTCATCTGGTCTGTGGGAACGAGTCGTGCGCACGAACAGGCTTGGAGGAAGTGTGGGTGAGCGAGCTAGGCTAAGCCCGACACATAGCCTTGGTCCGGGATCATGTGCAGCCACTGCGGCCATCGCATGGCGGGGCAAATGG